ATGTTCGTTTGTTGGATTAACATAACTCAAAAACCACTGGACAAATTGACATCAAATTTGGACTCAATACACCTATCAGGCCAAGGAGTGACCATCATTCATAAAAACACCAAAAAACACAGCAGAAGAGACTTTAAAAGACAAAAAACAAAAAAATACCATATATACATACACACACACACATATATATACACATATACAAAAATATACAGACACATATACCCACACAAAACACATATACACAGACTGGGCCACAGCAACGTGTGGCAGGGGACGGCTAATAATAATAATAATAATACGTGTGGCAGGGGATGGCTAGTAATAATAATAATAATAATAATAATAATAATAATATCAACATTATATGATGTAGAGTCTCTGGCACTGGCACAGGGCTTTGAATTGAGGCAGGTTGTCCAATCCGGTAGAAAAGCCAAACGCAATCTCTCCAACTGGGCCTGGCCTTGCCTGAGTGGAAGGGCAGGCAGGAGAGACACTTTAATTTTCCAAATTAGAGAAGTGATCCTCATTATTTCAGCAGCCAGGGTTTAAAAGGCGCCACCGAAAATTGTAGGAGTCTCCATGTAGTCTTGAAATTTGGCAACCCTAATAATCTGAGTTGACAAACGGTGATTGTTACCGCTTTTTTGTGCAGCTGATGAAACCAGCTCCTAATTTTAATGTTCTCTGAATGGAAGACAATGACGGGACATTGGCTTTTTAAAAAACTTTCTCCAGACAAGTGAAAAGAATGAAGTTGTGAGTTAAAGTGTTTGAAAAACTCACTCGAACAACAAATGTAATGAAGGTTTTGTGGAATCGTGTTTCATATACATGACCTTTCTCCAAAAATAAATCACCGAAAACTCTCTTTAGGGAGGCGCCACAACTTATTAACCAGGTTCTTCACTTTCCCAGTCTAAATCTTATTTTCCACCTCTTTGACAAAACACTCTCTCCACAGGAACTAACGATTACTAACTCATTGTACAACTGTATGCCATTCGGTTTCGTGACATCTTCTGTGCAAATGCAATAGTAACAATAATTGACAATAACTGGAACATCTGAATATGCCTAACTCATAAGGGAAAGCCATCTTGAGTGTATGACCAGAAACCTGCTTGAAGCAGAAGCCACTTCCAAATGTTTTCTTGTCATGACATGGGCTTCCAAATATGAGATAGAAGAAAGGAGGAAAGAGGAGCAGGAGTTCTAATTACACTAAAATCCCACATTACTCAACTCATGAAGCGTATGTTACACCGCCTGTTTGATTTCATTCCACAAACACTTAATTTTCTTTCTTTCTTTTAAAATGGCTTTTAACCTTCCCACCCACACTTTCCCCTGGAAAGAAATTTAGTTAAAAGCTGGAAAAAAACAGCTTCCTCTTCTAGTATATCATAGATTAAGACACCACGCTTTTTCAAAAAAAAGTCTCCCAAGCTGTTACTGAGGCCCAACCGTTACCGGCGTCCTTTGAAGCAAATCTAAATGGGATATTCCATTTGCAAGTAACACTTTGGTAGTCAAAAGATCTTACTCTGAGGGGATTTAATGCAAAACCACTCAGACTGTGGAGAGAGACACCATCAGAAAGGAAGGGCCGAGAAGTGTTTCCAAGCCCCATGTAACACCATTATGGAGGGTGTTGGCTTAGGAACTGTCATAAACACTTCATAATCACTCAGACACAAACTGGGTTGCCTGGAGCACATTAGTTTATTAAGTGCTGAATAGGTGTCCGACCAAACAGAGGACAAAAGCACAACCCTCTAGATAAAAGTGAGGTTTAGCATGGGGCCTTTGGCACACCAAACTAAAGGGCTGGAACTCCAGAGGCCGTTTTGAGGGGAAGGTGGCCAGGATTTCTAAAGGGGAAGGCACAGCACACCATTATGAAGGGCAGATAATGAGATGACAAGCTATTAACATACATTTACCTTAGGTATATATCTTACTTCAAGGTGAACCCCAAATGTACAGGAGCGAATGGCAGGTGCAGCGGGATGGAGCCAGTCTGCACCATTATATAAGCCTGTGCTCTAAACACACTCCAGGGTCTTTGAAATGCTCTGGTGGAACTTGAACAAGCAAAATGATTGAGGAAGGAGTTTGACAAAAGTGAAAAAGCTTCCAAACACACAGAATAAACATACAGCTTTTAAACCAAGACCAAGGAACATGTCCTCAAATAGTTGTGACTGCAACTCCTATTTACCTTTGCTACCAGCTAGGCTAACCATGAATGAATGGTAATATTTATTTATATAATAACAACAACAACAACAAGAACCACCACCACCATCATCATCATCATCTTCTTCTATATAAATAAAAATGTAATGTTCGTTTGTGGGATTAACAAAACTCAAAATCAAACGCAAATTTGGACACAATGCACCTATCAGGCCAACAAGTGACCATCACTCATAAAAACACTGAAAAACACAGCAGAAGAGATTTAAAAAGCCAAAAAAAATACATTACAATGCATCCACAAAACCACATATATACAAATACACACACACACACAAACATATACACAGACTGAGCCACAGCAACACGTGGCAGGGGATGGCTAGTAATCTATATAAATCAAAATGTAATGTTCATTTGTGGGATTAACATAACTCAAAAACCACTGGATGAATTGACACCAAATTTGGACACAATACACGTACTAGGCCAACAAGTGACCATCACTAAAAAAACTGATTTTGTCATTAGGGAGTTGTAGCTGCTGGGATTTATAGTTAACCTATAATCAAAGAGCATTCTGAACTCCACCAATGATGGGATTGAACCCAATGTGGCACACAGAACTCCCATGACCAACAGAAAACACTAGAAGGGTTTGGTGGGCATTGACATTGAGTTTGGGAGTTGTAGTTCACCTACATCCAAAGAGCACTGTGGACTCAGACAGTGATAGATCTGGACCAAATTTGGCACAAATATTCCATATGCCCAAATATGAACACAAATGGGGTTTGGGGGAAATAGACCTTGGCAATTGAGAGTTGTAGTTACTGGGATTTAGAGTTCACCTACAATCAAAGAGCATTCTGAACCCCACCAATGACAGAACTGAGGCAAACTTCCCACACAGAACCCCCATGACCAATAGAAAATACTTAATGCCATCCAGACCAACCCCCTTCACCAGGGCAAGAAAACGTAATCAAAGCCCTCCTGACAAAGAGCCATCCAGCCATAGATATATAGATATATATGATTCACACACAGAGAGATATAGTATCATAGATTTGAAAGGGACCCCTAAAGAAGGACAATTATATGTTGCATGTTCCAGAGTAGGCAAACCAGACAATCTCTACATCAACACTGACAAAGAAACAGCAAGAAATACTGTTTACCCACAAGCATAAAGAAATTACATATATTAGAAACCAACACTTTCTCATTACTTTATTTTCCAGATCACCAGACTGGGCCACAGCAACGCGTGGCAAGGGACGGCTAGTAATAATAATAATAATAATAATAATAATAATAATAATAATACTCAAGCATTTCCAACTTCTGGCTAAAACTGTGTTTCAGAGAGCACCAAGATTCTATGGAACTTATTGAGGTTTCCCTCATGGGAAGGCTAGGCATAATGAAACCACTTCCAGGAAGAAGACAGTCAGGTTGAGAGCTTTCCCTCAAAAGAAGGATCCCTGGGAGAATTTCATTTCCTTCACAGTCTAAACAGGGTCGCTCTGCATAAATCCAACAGAAACATTTTTGATGGAGCGTACATTCCAGAATTCTTTGCAATATGAAGGGGTCCATGAGCAGACAAGTGGTACAGAAAGGATTCCCAAAAGCAGAAAGCTGTTTCACTTGGGTGCCAACTCACGAAACAGGATCTGAAACATCATTCTTGGCTATCCACCTCTTTGTTTCAAATCATCTGTAGAATTCCACTGTGGCAGCAATTACTAAGGCAGCCAATCTTGTTTTTATCTCAGTATCTTAGCGACCCCTAATGCTCATTCTACAAAATGACAGTTTTAGACACAGAGAAAGATTCCCTCTAGTTTTAAACACACTTTTATTTTTTTTTTATTTGCAAACATGTAAAGAATCTCTTAGCTCTTCTCTTTCTGAACACTAAGTTCTTGTCACAGATGTGAGACAGCTGGGAAGTTTGTATGCGTTTTTTTTTTTCCTTTTCAGGAGTGACTTGAGAAACTTCAAGTCACTTCTGGTGTGAGAAAATTGGCCATCTGCAAGGACATTGCCCAGGTGGATGCCCGGATGTTTTGATGTTTTCCCATCCTTGTGGGAGGCTTCTCTCATGTCCCCGCATGGGAAGCCGGAGCTGACAGAGGGGGCTCATCCGCTTTCTCCCAGGATTCGAACCTGTCACCCTTCAGTCCTGCCCGCACAAGGGTTTAACCCACTGCGCCACTGGGGGCTCCAGTACATGTGGGTGAAAAGTGTGTTATGTGAGGAGGGGAGTGTTGCTGTTACCAGCTGGATAAATATACACTCCTACTTTGGGAGGCAGCTCATAAAGAGTTCAGTAATCTCTATTAAAACCTTCTCCACTACAAGCAGTCTGCAGGTTATGAATAAGATAGGTTCTATAGGTTTGTTCTTAAGCTGAAGTCAGAACAGGTACATTTTAAAGTGTAACTCTGGTGATATATTTATGTGTGTGTGTGTGTGTGTTTTGAACAGACAGCAAAACAAACTCCACAGGGGTCCTGCAAGGCTGAGAGAGTATGACTTGCCCAAGATTACTCAGTGGTTTTCTATGACCAAGCAGAGATTCAAATATTTGTCTGTTAAGTTTCCTAGTCAAATCTCAAACTACTATGCCACAGGGGGTACGACTAGATGGCCCTGAACTCCATCTGCAACCCATTTCTATGATTTACCTCACAGCTTTTGTGACTCTACAAAACAGCAAACACTAGACAAAACAGACATACTGTATCCTGGAGAAACCACACAGCCTCATAATTAACAGAGGTACTTACAGGTATGCTCCATATCTGTATCCCATCGCTGTAGCCAATCATTAGCAACAAAGGAGGTTCATTGCCAGTGCTGTGCATCTCATGCAAGTCCACATTCCTTGATGTATCTGAGGTTAAGAAGAAAACAGTTAAGGCAATCAAATGAGGAGGGTGTGCTTTAAATCAAATAAAATGTGGATCAGTTGGGAAAACCTCAAAGGAATTTTAGTTCTCACAGTCACATTTTGTCAGAAAATTCAATTAGAAGTTGACCTACTTTGGGATTAATTGCCTGACAAAATGTGGTTCTGAGAACTAAAATACCCATCTGCCTGGCTAAAAATTAAGATATGTTACCCCAAAAACTTTCAAGGGCTGAAATTCAAATTGCAAAGGTCACAGGTAGCATACTATAGATCTATATAAATAAAAAAATGTAATGTTTGTTTGTGGGATTAACATAACTCAAAAACCACTGGACAAATTGACACAAAATTTGGACACAATACACCTAACAGGCCAACGAGTGACCATCACTCACAGAAACACTGGAAAACACAGAAGAGACTTAAAAAGCCAAAAAACAGAAAATACATTGCAATGCATGCACATAACCACATATATACAGACTGGGCCACAGCAATGCACGGCAGGGGATGGATAGTTAATAATAATAATAATAATAATAATAATAATAATAACAACAACAACAACAATAATAATCTTTATTTATATCCCGCTCCCTCCCCCCAAAGGGACTCCCTTCTCCCCGAAATTGAGAAGACAGTATGTAATGATGTGGTGGAGGGAAACATACCGTTCAAGTCAGAATTTTCAAATCTGACCCATACAATTTTCTCTTTTTCTTCTGTTGGAGTTGTGCCACTGTAGGCCTATAAGGCAGAAAGTAGAAGTTCAAAATACTGAAGGTGTTTCCCAAAGATGACTGATAATTAGGTATCAACATTTTAAACTACCATAGATGCTTCCATTCTGGGTTGCTAAAAAGAAAAAATAGGACATCTATCTATCTATCTATCTATCTATCTATCTATCTATCTATCTATCTATCTCAAGCAAACAGCTCCGTACTGTGAAATATTTCCACTTACCTGAGGTACCACATCTTGCAGAAATGTAACAACACTTTCCATATATGACTGTTCCCTGAAAAAGGAGGGGAAAGGTAGAGCATCCATAAATGTTTCCTCTTACAACACAATACAATGCAAAACTTTATTATGGTCACTAACCAGCACAAAGCGAGGCACAAGCACTCCCTCTGAAGGCACAGGTTTGCAGCTTGGGAGTGATCCTAGACCCATCGCTGAGCCTGGAACCCCAGGTTTCAGCGGTGTCCAGGAAAGCTTTCGCACAATTAAAACTTGTGCATCAGTTGCACCCATACCTTGGGAAGTCTGACTTAGCCATGGTGGTCCATGCTCTTGTTACATCAAGAATAGATTACTGCAATGCGCTGTATGTGGGGCTGCCTTTGAAGACTTTAACTGGACCAATGCGTGGCAGGCAGGCTGCTAATCAGAGCAGCGTACAGGGAGCACACAACTCCCGTTAAGTCAGCTCCATTGGCTGCCAGTCTGCTACCGAGCACAATTCAAAGTTCTGGCTTTAGCCTATAAAGCCTTAAACTGTTCCCCCAGCGGTGGGATCAAGCTTTTGGCTGGTAAATAATGCAGTTCAAAGAATAATTAAGAAACATGTGCAATGACAATTTTGAATGGCTATAGTATGCAGTTTCTGGATCATGTGATTTTAATGTTTATACTAGGATGATTTTATGCTTTGACTGAATGTTTAAATATTATGTATGTCTTATGTTTAATGGTTTTAATGATTTTAAGTTCATAATTAGTAGATTTTTAGTAGATTTTATTGCATTAACTCATTGTTTTTAACTATTTATAATTACTGTTTTGTTGTGCATTTTATTGTGTTTAATTGTAGGCATTGAATATTTGCCGGCTGGAAGCTGCCCTGATTCCCCGCCCCCCCCGCCCCCCAGGGGGTTGAGAAAGGCAGGGTATAAATACCTGAAATAACAGATAAATAAATAAATTAATGTAGTAATTAGTTATTATGATTTCTTTATTTTACTGTATGGCAGCATTGAAGTTTTGCCATTAGTATATTGTAAAATGCTTTGAGTCTCCCCAGGGGTGGTATATAGATATAGTAAATAAATAAATTTACTATATGGAGCCCCCGGTGACACAGTGGGTTAAACAACTGAGCTGCTGAACTTGTTGACCGAAAGGTCACAGGTTCGAATCCGGGGAGTGGCGTGAGCTTCCACTCTCATCCCCAGCTTCTGCCAACCTAACAGTTTGAAAACATGCAAATGTTAGTAGATCAATAGGTACCGCTCCGGTGGGAAAATAATGGCACTCCATGCAGTCATGCTGGCCACATAACTTTGGAAGTGTCTATGGACAATGCTGGCTCTTTGGCTTAGAAATGGGAGATGAGCACCAACCCCTATTCAGACACGACTGAACTTAACGTCAGGGGAAAACCTTTACCTTTACCCTAAATAAATAAATGAGTGCCCTGGGAAAGGAAACAACAGCAACAAATACTGTGATACTTCTAACTTTAAAAAGATACTTTTGATGTCTCTTAAATGAAAAGTATCCTCTTAAATGAAAAGTATCCTTTTAAAGTTAGAAGTATCATGACATTTGTTGCTGTTGTTTGCAAAATGTATTTAAACAGTATAAATAGAAGAGTAATTGCACAGTGTATGGAATCTCCTCCATCCCCTCTATGCAAAAGCAGTGCTTAAAACGCTTACGTTACAGCTTGCGGTCGAACAACCACTCCTCCAGTACATCGGCTTGGACGTCGGGGAGATTCAGCAGCCATTGTTAATCTGTAGATTCCTATGTGCAGAAGGGAAAAAAATGTTTTGGAAGTCTTTAAAAATATGCAGTTCTTCGGCTACTATAGTTTTGCAATTTCCCTTGCCCCTAGCTACTGAAGAAGTGATAATACTAATATTGATATTGATGGTGGCTATAGTTAATGGTAATGGGAGTCCAATAACACTAAGAGGGCTGTAAGTTCCCTGTTGCCATGATATGAAAGTTGCCAGGTTATTAAACATCACGATGCTCATCTTGTTTCTGGACATAGTTCCTAGGTTGGCACATTGTTCCTATAGCTGTCTCCCACCACAAAAAGCTATTTTTATAACTACTACAGAATAAAATAGAAAGGTTTCCTTTCCAAATCATCCCTGTTTCCACTTAGGTGTATCACCATATATTAATAAATATCGTATCTGTTTTGAAGTAGATCCAAGTAATGTCAACACAAATCAGATTTCCTCAAGTGCACACAACCCATTGACCAACAGGGGGCAACAGTATATTCAGAAGAACTCTAAAAATTGAGTCTTTGCCTGGCCTTGTGATGTGATCTCTCACCACAAATGAAGTCCAGAGATTGTTGCCCCACATTCTGTATCCATGTTCTGCTGTGCCAAATTACTCTTATTTATTATTATTATTATTATTATTATTATTATTATTATTATTATTATCATTATTTGTACCCCGCTAGCATCTCCCGAAGGACTCGATGCGGCTTACAAAGGCCAAGGCCTTAAAACATAGCATAACAAATAAACAACTCAAAGCAAATCAAAATGATTAAAGCAATATCAAAACATCAGAACAATAAAACAATACACCAAAACACAATAAAACTGGGGCCGGGCCAAATGTAATGGGTACAGATTAAAAGTGCTGATGTGACAGGTGGTATGTCGGATTTTAAAATAAGTGCAGTGTGCAAGCAATCTTCAAGTCTAATAAAGTGCTACTGGGACAGGTTGTTGGAGTTTTCCTATTCTGGAAAGGCACAACGGAACAGCCAGGTCTTCAAGTTCTTCCTAAAGACTGCCAATGTAGGGGCCTGTCTAATGTCTTTGGGGAGGGTGTTCCAGAGTCGGGGGGGGCCACCACAGAAAAGGCCCTGTCTCGCGTCCCCACCAGATGCGCCTGCGACGCAGGGGGAATCATGAGCAAAGCCTCTCTGGATGAATGAAGAGAATGCGTGGGTTCATAAACGGAGATGCGGTCACGCAAGTAGGATGGTCTTAAACCGTTTAGGGCTTTGTAGGTAAGCACCTGCACCTTGAATTGGGCTCGGAAGATAAATGGCAGCCAGTGGAGCTCCTTGAACAGGAGGGTTGACCTCTCTCTGTAGGGAGCACCAGTTAACATCCTGGCCGCCACTCATTGGACCAGTTGAAATTTCTGAGCCGTTTTCAAGGGCAGCCCCACGTAGAGCGCATTACAGTAGTCCAATCTACTGTTTGTCCAATCTCTTAGTAGTATCCAACCTGTGTACCAAAATCGGGACACAAAGTGGCTTACAATTTTTTTTAAAAAAAACTATAAAACAACTTGAAAAACTGCAAGTCGCTTCTGGTGTGAGAGAATTGGCCGTCTGCAAGGACATTGCCCAAGGGATATTGCCTGGACGATTTGATGTTTGACCATCCTTGTGGGAGGCCTCTTTCATGTCCCTGCATTGGAAGCTGGAGCTGACAGAGGGAGCTCATCCACACTCTGTCCGGATCTGAACCTGCGACCTGTCGGTCTTCTGTCCTGCTGGCACAAGGGTTTAACCCATTGCACCAACGGGGGCTAAAACAACTAAAACCATACAAAAAACTGGACAAGGAAATGGGATTAAACACATATGAACATTTAGCTCTCTTTTTGCATTGCTACCACCTTATTTATTTATTTATTTATTTATTTACGACCTTTATATGCCGCCCTTCTCACCCCGAAGGGGACTCAGAGTGGCTTACAAGGTATATATACATACAATATATTATATTATTAGCATAGTACAATATCAGTTTTAAATATTGCTATATTGTACTATACCAATTATATTGTAATATTATTAGTAATATTACATGTAATATAAATATATAATTATAATATCATGTTATTATTAGTATTATATTGCATTACATTATAATATTATAAATATTATAAATATGTTATAAATATATATATTAGGACAAGAGTCATTTTGCTGTTTAGTCTCTCTATTGTGTACACTGCTGCCAATCTGCGCCATTATTACTTTGATGAACCTCATGGTTTGTTAGAAAATGCCAAAACGAATATATGTTTATGTTCCTGGCTGATACATGCATGAAACCAGACATTTGTATACAGATTATACAATGGGTTGTTGTAGGTTTTTTCGGGCTATATGGCCATGTTCTAGAGGCATTCTCTCCTGACATTTCGCCTGCATCTATGGCAAGCATCCTCAGAGGTAGTGAGGTCTGTTGGAACTAGGAAAAGGGTTTATATATCTGTGGAATGACCAGGGTGAGACAAAGGACTCTTGTCTGCTGGAGCTAGGTGTGAATGTTCCAACTGACCACTATGTTTTCTGATGGTCTTTGGCGACCCACACAGGGGTCCCGACCCCCAGGTTGAGAAACACTGTCTCAGAGCAAGACCTTCAGGAGGGGCGACCCTTTTCCCTTTCCCCCTCAGCTTGAGAGGGAAAAGCCCCTTCATGGCTGCTGCTCCTCCTCACAGCCTCCTCCCTTGATGGGGATGCCATTATTTACTGATGTATTATTTCACATGACGACCATTCCCCTCAGAGATTCTCCCTCAGAGATGCTGCTCCCCTCACAGAGTGGAGTAGGCCTTTCCCCTCACTAAGTAGGCCTTTTCGCAGTTCCCTCACCAAAGCCTCCTCTCCATCCCTCAGGACTCACCCTCTCCCTCCAAATCCCTTTCCCTCACTGAGGGGACACTTCCCCCCTCAGAGCCTTTTATACCCCTCCCCCCCTCACCTGGCCCCGCCCACCGCCCTCGCGCCCACTTCTCCCTCGCGCTGTTGCTTTCCCCACCTCAGGGTCTTACCTCGCTGGCTGCTGACAATGTTTGGGACCCTCTCGCCGGCCACTAGCGGCGCCAACCAATGGCCTGACAGAGGAGGCGGGACCCCTTGAGCCTCCTCGCCAATCGCTGCCTCGGTGTGCCCACCACTCGGATAGGTTGCGCCCTTCACCCTCCACTTCAGCCTTTCCGCTTCTTTCCCAGCCAAAGTTAGGTTGAGAGGCGGGAGAGGGAAGAGAGCGCACTTTGGGCACGCCCACTTGGGGGACTTTGTTTACATCCGGGGCTCCGAGAGCTGCCCTAATCTGATTGGCTCGGCTCCTCCGACCTGCAACCTATCAGTTTAGGAGGCCTCAAGCCACGCCCACACGAGTTGTTGTTTGCCTCTTCCACTCTGCAAAAGCGTCCAATGACGCAACCACGCATCGAACGCGATGACGTAACCCCAGCCAGAGTCATAGAGGTAGCTAGTTCCCCACACTAACTTCCGGTATCAAATTGACATATTGTAATAATATTGTAATGGAATACAATATATTAGTAGCAGGTGGAAAAGGAGTGACAGAGTTGGACATCATCTGCGTACAGATGACACCGCACCCCGAAACTCCGGATGATCTCACCCAGCGGCTTCATGTAGATGTTAAACAGCATGGGGGACAGTATAGAACCCTGAGGAACCCCACAGGTCAACGGCTGTGGTGTTGAACAGGAGCCCCCCAATAACACCTTCTGGGTACGACCCTCCAGAAATGACTGGAGCCACTGCAAAGCAGTGCCCCCAAGACCCATCTCTGCAAGGCGCCCCAGAAGAATACCGTGGTCGACGGTATCGAAGGCCGCTGAGAGGTCCAGGAGCACCAACAGGGACACACTCCCCCTGTCGAGCTCCCAGCGCAGATCATCACTAAGGCAACCAAGGCTGTCTCGGTACCATGTCCAAGCCTAAAGCCAGACTGTGCCGGGTCCAGATAATCCGTGTCTACCAAGAATACCTGGAGTTGTGAGACCACCACACGTTCCAGGACTTTGCCCAAGAAGCGGAGAGATTGGAAACAGGCCGAAAGTTGTCCAATTTAGTGGGGTCCAGTGATGGTTTCTTCAACAGCGGTTTTATAATAGCCTGTTTTAGGCTCGCTGGAATCTTGCCTTCCCGAAGGGAGGCATTAACCACCACCGTTACCCACTCAGCCAATCCCCCTCTGGCCTCCTTCAGAAGCCAGGATGGGCAGGGGTCTAGGATGGACGTGGTGGGCCTCATTCATCCAAGTATCTTGTCCACATCCTCGGGCTTCACAAACTGAAAAGAATCCATCAAAATAGGACAAGCAGGTGCTTGTGTCACATCCCCAGAGACTGCATTTAATGTGGTGTCCAGCCCAGAACGGATCAAAGCGACTTTGTCTGCAAAGAACCGAGCAAATGCTTCACAGCGCGTGGCCGAATTGTCAGGGCTCCCGCCTGAGATAGGGGGAGTTAAAAGACCTCTGACAATCCGAAACAACTCCGCCGGACGGTTTTTTGCAGACGCAATAGTAGCCGCAAAGAAAGTTTTCTTTGCGGCTTTTATTGCCGCGGCATATGCCCTTAAAAAGGACACAAACCGTGCTCGATTTGGCTCGCTTGGGTCCGAGCGCCACACGCTCTCTAGTTCCCTCTTCCTTCGCTTCATCGCTGCCAGCTCCTCAGTGAACCAAGGAGCTGGTTTAGCTCGGTTACTTGAGAGGGGACGTTCCAGAGCGATCCTGTCAATTGCCCTGGTCATCTCCCCATTCCAGAGAGCGACCAAGGCCTCGACATGGTCACCTACCGAGGTGGCGGGAAAATCCCCAAGAGCCGTCAGGAATCCATTCGGATCCATAAGCCTCCTGGGGCGGACCATCTTAATAGGTCCTCCACCTTTGCGGAGGTTAGGGGGCGCAGTGAGCCTAAATCTGATCAGGAAGTGGTCGGTCCATGGCAACGGAGAGATAGACAACTCCTCCACACCGCCACCCTGCTCCCATCCCTGGCAGAAAACCAAGTCCAATGTGTGTCCAGCGCAGTGGGTGGGGCCAGTTATTCGTTGGGACAGCCCCATGGTTGCCATGGCAGACATGAAGTCCTGAGCCGCTCCTGAGAGGGTTGCCTCGGCGTGGATGTTGAAGTCCCCCAGCACAAGAAGCCGTTGGGACTCCACCGCCAGGCTCGAGACCACCCCCGCTAGCTCAGGTAGGGAGACTGTAGTGCAGCGAGGTGGACGGTACACTAACAGAATCCCTATTCTGTCCCGGTCACCCACCCTCAGGTGGACGCATTCAAAATTTGTGGTCTGCGGGATGGGGCTCCTGGTCAGATGGATGGAATCTCTATAGACCACTGCGACCCCGCCTCCCCGTCCTCCGGTTCTTGGTTGGTGTTGCACGGAGAAGCCTGGAGGACAAAGCTGGGAGAGGTTTACGCCCCCAGCTTCATCCAACCAGGTCTCCGTGATGCACGCCAGATCTGCCCGCTCCTCCAGGATTAGATCCTGGATCCTGGATAATACAATATAATTATGTATTTTATATTATATTACATATAATATAAATTATATAATTATGTATTTTATATATTACATATAATATAAATTATAATTATGTATTTTATATTATATTACATATAACTGTAATACTATTATTATAGTAATAATAATACAATATAATTATGTATTTTATATTACGTATAATATAAATTATATAATTATGTATTTTATATTATATGTAATATAATATAAATTATAATTATGTATTTTATATTATATTACACATAATATAACTGTAATACTATTATAGTAATAATAATACAATATAATTATGTATTTTATATTACATATAATATAAATTATATAATTATGTATTTTATATTATATGTAATATAATATAACTGTTATACTATTATTATTATAGTAATAATAATACAATATAATTATGTATTTTATATTATATGTAATATAATATAAAATACATAATTATATTGTATTATTATTACTATAATAATAGTATTACAGTATAGTAGTATAATACAATATAGTAGTATACTAATATTGTGCAATGCTAATAATATATTGTATACACATATACTTGATAATATTATGTAATACAATACCAATAATAATACAATAATTACATTATTACTAATATTACACTATTTTGGTAGAGTACAATATAGTAATATTGTGTTCTAATAATATTGTATACACATGTAATATTGATATTACAATGTAATAAAATATAATAATACAATATAATGATTATATACTAATAATATTACACTATTGTGGTATAGTACAATATAGTAACATTGTGCTGTGCTAATAATATATTGTATACACATGTATGTTGATAATATTGTAATGTAATACAATATAATACCAATAAAAATACAATATAATGATTATATACTATTTTGGAATATTTTGGTATATTGTGCTGTGCTACTATATTGTATACATGTAATACTGATAATACTGTAATGTAATACAATACTAATATATACTAATATTACACTATTATAATATAATAATTATATATTTTATATTATATGTAATATTACTAATAATATTACACTTTTGGTATAGTACAATATAGTAATATTATGCTGTGCTAATAATATATTGTATACACATGTATATTGATAATATTGTAATGTAATACAATATAATACCAATAAAAATACAATATGATTATATACTAATAATATTACAGTATTGTGGTAGAGTACAATATAGTAATATTGTGCTGTGCTAATATATTGTATGCACATCTAATATTGATAATACAATGTAATACAATATAATACTAATAATACAATATAATTCTATATTTTACATTATATGTAATATTGCTAATAATATAGTAATATAATACGATATAGTAGCATACTAATGTTGTGCAATGCTAATAATATATTGTATACACATATACTTGATAATATAATGTAATACGATACTAATAATACGATATAATAATATTATATGTAATATTACTAATAATATTACACTATTGTGGTAGAGTACAATATAGTAATATTGTGGTAGAGTACAATATAGTAATATTGTGCTGTGCTAATAATATATTGTATTATTATATTGTATACACAATATATTGTATACACATGTAATATTGATAATATTGTAACATAATACAATATAATACCAATAAAAATACAATATAAAATACAATATAATACTAGTAATATTACACTATTTTGGTATAGTACAATATATTAATATTGTGCTGTGCTAATAATATATTGTATACACATGTAATATTGATAATATTACAATGTAATGCAATATAATAATACAATATAATTATAAATTATATATTATATGTACTATTGCTAATAATACAGTATAGTAGTATAACACGATATAGTAATATACTAATATTGTGAAATGCTAATAATATATTGTATTCACTTGATAATATAATGTAACACAATATAACAATACTAATAATACAATATAATGTTTATATATTTCATATTGTATATAATATTTCTAATAATGTTACAGTATAGTGGTATAGTATAATATAGTAATATATATTACTCATATTGTGCTGTGCTAATAATATAATATATTATATACACATATAATATGGATAATATTATAATGTAATACAATATAATAGTAACAACAATGCAATATAATAATTATGTAGTCATATGTAATATTACTAATAATATTACAGTATAGTGATATAGTACAATACAGTAATATATAATACTAATATTGTGCTGTGCTCATAATATATTGTATACACATATAATATGGATTTTTTTGTCGTGTCAGGAGCAACCTGAGAAACTGTAAGTTGCTTCTGATGTGAGAGAATTGGCTGTCTGCAAGGGCGTTGCCCAGGAGATGTTGCCCGGATGATTTGAGGTTTTATCATCCTTGTGGAAGGCTTCTCTCATGTCCCCGCAAGAGGAGCTGGAGCTGATAGAGGGAGCTCATCCGCCTCTCCCCGGCTTCGAACCTGTGACCTGTTGGTCTTCAGTCCTGCCGGCACAGGAGTTTAACACACTGCGCCACTGGGAGCATCATGGATAATACTATAATGTAACACAATATAATATTAATAATACAATATAATAATTAAATATTTTCTATTACAGTCTGAGACCTACCACAATGCACAATGGAGGACCTCCTTGTAGCAACACCAGAGGCACTCCAAATGGCCAGCTACTCATCAAAGGACATTTAATATAATTGCCAATTTTCTATGTGTTTTTTAAATACATTATAACTCTACTATTTGTTCGCTCCTGATACGATAAATAAAATGCTATCAGTTGGGACAGAAGGTCTTACTTCTGCATTTCATTTTGCTGACAAAAGATAGAGAAAGACACCCCACAACTTTCTGCGTACTTTATTTTTTGATAAGAATACATAATCCACATATGTAAGGAAAACTATAAAATATTCCCCAAAACCCATGATGCAAAGAGTCACATCAACAGCTGCCTTTCTTAGCTTGGTGTCCTCCAGATGGTGGACCAGAACCTCCATCGTCCTCATACAACACAACAGGGAAACTGAAGCGATGGGAGGACCCCGAGTAAGGGATTCAGAGCATCATCTTTCGCTGGACTGTGGAGCATTTCTAAACATATCACTATTTAAAAAAAATCTCCCCAGACTTGATAGAGGGATTTCTGTAGCTAAAGTATTGGTCCTTCAACCAATAAAAAAATGCAATCATAATTACTGCATAGGATCTGAATTAAAAATACAGAAACAAGCATTTTGCTGAGCGAAGGAGACTCAACATCTCTTCGGTGTATGTTTTCCTTTCTGAGTACAGAAATCTAAAAGTTAAGAAAGAAAATAGACTTAGGATTATAGACTCTAACAGGGCCACACTCCAAACAGAACCGTATTAAGTACTACGAAAATACATTATCTCCCATTCTGTTTAATAATTTACTTTTCTTTAAAAGTTGTGAGGTCATCACATGGAATTGTATGCCAATCCATGACTTTTGTACTCAAGCATTACAGAGAAAGGATCCCCCAAAGTACAAGGGCAAGAGGCCTCTATAAACAATCATTTAATCCAATAATATAAACCATTAAGAATGTTTTTCATGGGTTGTTGTAGGTTTTTTGGGCTATATGGCCATATCCTAGAAGCATTCTCTCCTGACGTTTCACCTGCATCTATGGTAAGCATCCTCAGAGGTTGTGAGATATATATAGCTAGCCCTGGGCAATGCATGGTTCTAAATGGTTCTAAAGTACTTACAAAACTAAAGTTCTGGTGGTGAAAATTTCAAAACTCTAGCAAAACTCTCAAAATTTCATTATAAATGGCAGTTCCTAATTGGTTCTGTCATAAACATTGCCAATAATGGAATAATAACTAAATTTTGAAAGTTTTGTTAGAGTTCTGAAATTTTCACCACCAGAACTTTAGTTTTGTAAATACTTTAGAACCATGGATTGCCCAGGCCTACATATATATATATATATATACACACACAAATATATTGTATTATTAACATAGTGCAATATCAGTATTAAATATTACTATATTGTACTATACCATTATATTGTAATATTAGTAATATTACATGTAATATAAATATATAATTGCAATATCAAATTATTATTATTATTATTATTATTAGTAGTAGTATATTGCATTACATTATAATATTATGAATTTATAATATTATAAATAATATAAGAGAAATGCCTTCTATAAGTATGTTTGTTTGTAATACATTGAACATATTCCTTTGGATTCTGTTTTCTCATGTAAGGAAGATTTTGTGTTAAGATACTTGTATTTTGAATACAGCGTTCCTCACTGTAATACAGGGTTCCATTCCAGGACCAACTGTGATAAGTGAAAATCCGCAAAGTAGGGACACCATATTAATTTTAATATTTATACTGCTTAACGATGCAAATGGACAAGGATTTTAATCCGGAAGTCATTGATCTTTATATTTTTAAACTGTTTTATTATTAATTTTATTCTGTGATTTAATTTATCTGTGTTCGGCATCTAATATTGCCAGTCTGTACGCCACCCTGAGTCGCCTTTGGGCTGAAAAGGGCGGAATAAAAGTGTAGTAAATAAATGAATAATAAATAAATATATATTATTTTCTTACCTGCACTTCCTTACCTGCCTCCCGGCCCATCCCAAGGGCGCCTGCCTGCCTCCCTGGCCTCTGAGAGTCCCCGGAGCCACGCAGGCAGCACGTCAGGCCACCGCACTTCCGGGATCTGTGGAGGCCAGGGAGGCAGGCCTTCCCCGCCGTGTCTCAGGCCACCGCACTTCCGGGGTCTGTGGAGGCCAGGGGGGCAGGGCTTCCCCACTGCACCTCGGGCCACCGCACTTCCGTGGTCTATGGAGGCCAGGGAGGCAGGCCTTCCCCTCCACACCTCAGGCCACCGCACTTCCGGGGTCTGTGGAGGCCAGGGGGGCAGGGCTTCCCCACTGCACCTCGGGCCACCGCACTTCCGTGGTCTATGGAGGCCAGGGAGGCAGGCCTTCCCCTCCACCTCAGGCCACCGCACTTCCGGGGTCTGTGGAGGCCAGGGAGGGCCTTCCCCGCCGCACTTCAGGCCACTGCACTTCCGGGGTCTGTAGAGGCCAGGGAGGCAGGCCTTCCTCGCCGCACCTCAGGCCACCGCACTTCCGGGGTCTGTGGGGGCCAGGGAGGCAGGCCTTCCCCGCCGTACCTCAAGCCACCACAGTTCCGGGGTCTGTGAAGGCTAGGGAGGCAGGCCTTCCCCGTTGCACCTCAGGCCACCGCACTTCTGGGTCTGTGGAGGCCAGGGAGGCGGGCCTTCCCCGCCGCACCTCAGGCCACCGCACTTCTGGGTCTGTGGAGGCCAGGGAGGCAGGGCTTTCCCGTTGCACCTCAGGCCACCACAGTTCCGGGGTCTGTGGAGGCCAGGGAGGCAGGCCTTCCCCGCCGCACCTCAGGCCACCGCACTTCCGGGGTCTGTGGAGGCCAGGGAGGCAGGCCTTCCCCGCCGCACCTCAGGCCACTGCACTTCCGGGGTCTGTGGAGGCCAGGGAGGCTGGCCTTCCCCGCCACACCTCAGTCCACCGCACTTCCAGGATCTGTGGAGACCAGGGAGGTAGGCCTTCTCTGTCATGCCTCAGGCTGCCACACTTCCGGGGTCCCTGGCCTCCACTGAATGTAAATATTTTATATTAATATTTTCAAAATCCCGCAAAACAGCGAATCCGCTGAAAACGAACCGTGAATTAGCAAGGTAACACTGTAATTGTGTAGTATATTTTGAATTTTGACAAGCTTTGTTTGTACACTGAATGCTGTATGACTATAGTATATATATGAAAAACATTCTTATGGTTTATATATAAAACAGGCATCCTCAAACTGCGGCCCCAGAAGCCCTAATAAGCTCGTTCAATTGTCATGAATTCTGGGAGTTGAAGGCCCAAACAGCTGGAGGGCCGCAGTTTGAGGATGCCTGGATTATCTTATCGTTTATAGTGGCCTCTTGCCCTTTTGTACTCAAGCCGCCACCAATTCTCATCACACACATACACACACACAAATGCGCTGTCCCAATAAAAATGTGTTTTGTTTTGTTTTTTAGCCCTGTTGTCACAATTAATGAAGGTTTGGCGGGGACACTACATTTGTATGAAGGAATATAAATTTACACGCTTGTTCCTTTTTACAATCCTAACGAACGCCTACAAAAATTCACAGTTATATTACAAGTGAGAGTACAAGGTCGGGATAAAGCTATCTGTATACCAAGGTTTCTACATTAAAAAAATAAAGAGGTGGGCAGGAAGAAATCCCTGTCGCAGTTTCCAAAGGGTCCGCACCAAGTAAGCCCCAGGGGTATCCTTCAGCACACACACAAGGCTTTCCTGGGCTGCGGAAACAATGGCTTGCCTAGTTTCTTCTGTCTCCGGAGGCTGCGGCGCATGGCCAGCTTGTTGGGGGTTTTGTGCTGCGGTGGCGCGGATAGGCTTTCAGTCTGGGCCCCCGCGTTCCTGGCCGGACCCCACCTGGGCTTCTTGATCACCGGCCCCGAATTGGATTCTTCCAAAGTCCGTTTGAAGTTTGCGGCCGTCGGCGCGTGCTCCGACTCGTGGGCCTTTGAGCCGTCGTTCGGAGATACCTTGAAGGCCTTGGGGTCTGGGTCCGCCCTCCCTGAATTGGGCGGCGAGCTCCCGCGACAGGACTTCTGTACCCTCAGCCCCAGGGCCTTGCCAGGGGTCTCCTCCTGCGGTGCTCCATCCTTCGGAGACGGTGCCGGCGACGTCAAGCTGCCTTTGGCGACATCCTCAGACGGGGGTTCAGAGCCATTGCTCAATACAGTGCTGCTCCGGGGGAGTAAAGGGACAGTCTCGGGGGAACTCAGGCGCGGCAACAGATCCTCTTCTACGGCCTGGTGATAGGAAAGAAGAGATATGAAAATCAACCCCTTCCGGACAAGGCAGAGAACAAGGAGAAAAGAATATTTATAATATTATAATGTAATGCTATATAATACTAATACGACTATTATTATTATTATATTTATATTACGTGTAATATTACTAATAATTATATAAATAAAAATGTAATCTTCGTTTGTGGGATTAACAGAACTCAAATATTTATAATATTATAATGTGATACAATATACTACTAATACTACTAATAATATATTATTATATATTTATATTATGTGTAATATTACTAATAATCTATATAAATAAAAATGTAATGTTCGTTTGTGGGATTAACAGAACTCAAAAATCATTGGATGAATTGATGCCAGATTTGGACACAATACACCTAACAATACAATAAAAAAATGATTTTGTCATTTGGGAGTTGTAGTTGCTGGGATTTATAGTACACCCACAATCAAAGAGCATTCTGAACCCCACCAATGATGGAAGTGAACCAAACTTGGCACACAGTTCTCCCATGACCAACAGAAAATACTGGAAGGGTTTGATGGGCAGTGTCCTTTGGTTTTGGAGTTGTAGTTCACCTACGTCCAGAGATCACTGTGGACTCAAACAATGATGGATCTGGACCAAACTCTACAGGAATACTCAATATGCCCAAATGTGAGCACTGGTAGAGTTTGGGGAAAATAGAATCTTGACATTTGGGAGTTGTAGTTGCTGGGATTTATAGTACACCCACAATCACAGAGCATTCTGAACCCCACCAACCATAGAATTGGGCCAGACCTCCCACACAGAACCCCCATGTGGGTCACAGCAACGCGTGGCAGGGGATGGCTAGTATTACAATATAATGATATAATACAATATAGTAATATTTAATAGTGATATTGTACTATGCTAATAATACAATATATTGTGCGTATATATATATATCTTGAAAGCCGCTCTGAGTCCCCTTCGGTGTGAGAAGGGCGGCATATGTATGTCATAAATAAATAATAATTAATGTTAATAATATAATACATTGTATGTATATATATCTTATAAGCCCCTCTGTGTCCCCTTCGGGATGAGAAGGGCCGCATATAAATGTAAATAAATAATAAATAATTAATAATGCTAATAATATAATACATTGTATGTATATATATCTTGTAAGCCACTCTGAGTCCTTTTTGGGGTGAGAAGGGCGGCATATAAATGTAAATAATTAATTAATAATGCTAATAATATAATACATTGTATGCATATATATCTTGTAAGCCACTCTGAGTCCTTTTTGGGGTGAGAAGGGCGGCATATAAATGTAAATAATTAATTAATAATGCTAATAATATAATACATTGTATGTATATATATCTTGTAAGCCACTCTGAGTCCTTTTTGGGGTGAGAAGGGCGGCATATAAATGTAAATAATTAATTAATAATGCTAATAATATAATACATTGTATGCATATATATCTTGTAAGCCACTCTGAGTCCTTTTTGGGGTGAGAAGGGCGGCATATAAATGTAAATAATTAATTAATAATGCTAATAATATAATACATTGTATGTATATATATCTTGTAAGCCACTCTGAGTCCTTTTGGGGGTGAGAAGGGCAGCATATAAATGTAAATAAATAATAATTAATAAATAAAAGGGAAGCTTGGCAGATAAAAAGGAGTTTCATTGTCATAAGCTGAAATGTACAGTGATCCCTCACTTATCGCGGGTGTTATGTTCCAGGATTATCCATGATAAGTGAAATTCTGTGAAGTAGGGATGCCCCCTCCCCTTTCCTCCTCGCCCTCTTTACCTTCCTCTTCCTCCTCCGCCTCCTCAATCGCGGGGCCCAAAGCGGTGGCAAAAGGCCCAGGTGGCGACGAGGAAGGGGAAGAGGAAGGTAAAGAGGGCAAGGGGTGGCTCTTCTTCCCTCCTCGCCCTCTTTACTTTCCTCTTTAAAATGTATTTCAAACTTTTATATCCCAATCTTCTCTACCTCCGTAGAGGGACTCAGATCGGCTAACAGCAAGGATTCAATGCTAACAGTACAGTCTAAAACATCATAACCAACTAATAACAAACATCAACAGTGAATTAAAAATACATCTATATAAATAAAAATGTAATGTTAGTTTGTGGGATTAACATAACTCAAAAACCACTGGACGAATTGATGCCAAATTCAGACACAAGACACATATCAGGCCAATGAGTGACCATCACTCATGAAAACACTGAAAAACACAGCGGAAGGGACTTAAAAAGCAAAAAAAAAAATTACAACGCATGCGCAAAACCACACACACACATATATACAGAAATATACACACACAAAGCACATATACACAGACTGGGCCACAGCGACGTGTAGAAGGGGACCGCTAGTAAAGGATAAAATACATATAAGCCAATTCACCAAGATAAAATCATGTCCAACTCAGTCTGCGTCTTGTGGTCAATAACTTTGGTCAATGATAATGTTGTGTATTTTATTGTCTATATTTTTTTTATTGCTTGTATTGTTGTTATTATTGCTTGTATTGTTGTGTTTGGCTCGGCCTCATGTAAGCCGCACCGAGTCCCTTGGGGAGATGGTAGCGGGGTACAAATAAAGTGTTATTATTATTATTATTATTATTATTATTATTATTATTAATTGCTGGTCTCGGCCATCATTCTGGGAATCCCTCGTTCCATAGCCAGGATTTCACTGGCTTCCTAAAGGTCAGGAGGGGGGGAGGGGGCAGATCTAATCTTATTTGGGAGAGAGTTCCATAGCTGTGGGGTCATCACAGAGAAGGCCCTGTCTCTCGTTCCCACCAGACGTGACTGCAAGGGTGGTGGGACTGAGAGTAGGGCCCTTCCAGAAGATCTTAGCAGCCTTGATGGTTCATAGGGCAGAATACGTTTGGAGAGGTAAACTAGGCTGGAACCGTATAGGGTTTTGTAGGTTTGAATTGTGCTCGGAAGCTAATTGGCAACCAGTGGAGCTGGCGCAACAAGAGAGTTGTGCGCTCCCTGTACTCCGCTCCCGTGCGTAACCTGGCTGCTGGGCAGTCTTCAGAGGCAGCCCCATGTAAAGAGTGTTGCAGTAGTCTATACAGGATGTAACCAGAGCGTGGACCACCATGGTCAAGTCAGACTTCCCAAGGTACGGGTGCAGCTGGCTCACAAGCTTTAACTGTGCAAAAGCTCTCCCGACCACCGTCGAGACCTGGGGTTCCAGGCTCAGCGATGAGTCCAGGATCACTCCCAAGCTGTGAACCTACGCCTTCAGGGGGAGTGTAACCCCGTCAAGCACAGGCTGTAACCCTATGCCCTGTTCGGCCTTGAGACTGACCAGGAGGACCTCTGTCTTGTCAGGATTTAGTTTCAATTTGTTCGCCCTCATCCAGTCCGTTACAGCGGCCAAGCACCGGTTCAAGCCTTGGGACAGCCTCCTTAGTAGCAGGGCCCTGCGATACCTCCGCTGCCTCCTCAATTGCGGGGCCCAAGCAGCAACGAGGAGGAGGAAGAGGAAGTAAAGAGGGCGAAGAGGGAAGAAGAGCCGCCCCGGAGGGCAAGAAGCCCAGGCGGCAACAAGGTGCTTCTCTCTCTCTTTCACTCAGTGTTCCCTCGCTGCTTAAATTCTTTACGAAAAACCCACAAAACAGCGAGTCCGCGATAAGCGAACCGCAAAGTAGCGAGGGACCACTATACTTGTTTTCTATTCTTTACAAAGTGATTAGATGCCCAAGTTTGTTGCACAATTACCTTCAGAGGAATGAAAGGATTTTTTCTTGTTCAGAAAATAATAATAATAATAACTTTATTTATATAAAGTATTATTATTAATAATAATATTATTTTAAGTGTTCATTGAATCCAATCAATCTATTATATTATACAGGCAATCCAGTCAAACAGACAAACTGGTCAATAATTGAGGACTATATTGAAAATAGGTATAAGGATTTATAACTGTACTGAGGTTACAATAAATGTAAAAAAATGGAATATACAAAATGTATAGACAAAAAGAGACTGTACGGGCAGAATTAGAAGGAAGTCCAATTTTTTATTTTTTTATGTTTATTTATTTTTTTATTCTTGACGGTGTGTTGTGAATTTCCTTTCCACAATTTTTCTTTCTTTCTACGGGTGTTTTTTGCTTTCATAACTTTCCTACTTTTCTATCCTCTTGAAATTATTCCCCCACTTTCGCTGTAATCTATAATAACTTAATAATATTTTTTTAAAAATCTATTATATTTAAAGTTACCTTATGATTCATGTGAAGGATTTAAAATACCTTCTGCTAGCCTTTAAAAGAAGGGAGGATAGGTTCTTGACAGATGTTTTGAGTATAAGGAGGAGATTGCGCCACCACAATGCATTGAAACCGATCTCCAGTGGGATTCCAGACCTGATCCATAAGTTCTGGTTCTGTCCTTTAATGGTTAGGACCAGAACCCCTGTTGACTTTATTATCCTAGAGGTATTTACTAAATTTGGTTTCGGTGGTGAGGAACCCCCTGCCGAGCGCAATGACGTTTCCATTTCCTAGACTAATTGAAAACCTAGTTGGTGGTTTCTGAGCACCATTCCTGTGGTTTTTGACCTGTAGATTTTGTGCTATTTATAAAGTTTGTAAACACTTCTCTTTTGGACCCTGAATCCATGGAACTAATAATATGATATTGTAATTATATATTTTATATTACATATAATATTACTAATAATATTACAATATAATGGTATAGTACAATATAGTAATATATAATACTGATATTGTACTATGTTAATAAAATAATATATTGTATGTATATATACTGTATATACTCGAGTATAAGCCTAGTTTTTCAGCCCTTTTTATAGGCTGAAAATGTTCCTTTCGGCTTATACTTGAGTCAAGGTTATTTATTATTTTACTCTGTTATTATTTTTATTGCATGTATTATTTTGCTCTATTTATTATTATTATTTATTATTATGATTACATTTATCATTATTATTTTACTTTATTAATGTTATTATTACATGTATTATTTTACAATATTTATTATTGTTATTACTACATTTATTATTTTACTCTATTATTACTGTTATTATTACATTTCCATTATTTTACTATTATTATTATTATTATTATTATTACATTTATTATGTTACTCTCTTTATTATTATTGGAAGGATTCATAAGCACATTGAAGATGCTTAGAATCAGAGTTGGACAGTCTTATCTTCAATTACAGTGTTATGTAAACATTCAAAAACATTTAACCTTCTGATGCCTCAGTCGATGTAATTTTATTGATATCTATTTTTATTTTGAAATTTACCAGTCGCTACTACATTTTCCACCCTCGGTTTATACTTGACTCAATACGTTTTCCCAGTTCGTGTGGTAAAATTAGGTGTCTCGGTTTATATTCGGGTCGGCTTACACTCTGGTATATACGGTATCTTGTAAGCCACTCTGAGTCTCCTTCGGGGTGAGAAGGGTGGCATATAAATGATGTAAATAAATAAATAAAACCAGTATCAGTGGTTTCATTTATTGGCCCTCCACAACCTATTATTATTATTTATTTACGACATTTCTATCCCGCCTTTCTCACCCCAGGGGGGACTCAACGCGACTTTACATGTAGGGAACAGTTCGATGCCCTAAAACACAATGTACACTTAAATAAATATTAAAACAGAATTCAAAAGTACATTAAAAACAATTAAAACATTTCAAAACAATACATCCTGAGTTAAACACATAATCCATGAGCGTAATCCAGGCCGTGCCAATGGTCATTGCACATTTTTCCAAGTCTATCGATTGCACAAGTTCTCTAAAGGCTTGGTCACAAAACCACGTTTTAATTCTCTTGTGGAAAGTCAGGAGAGAGGGGTCTATATGCTCCCTGTACGCCGCTCCGGTGAGCAATTTGCCCCGCCACCCATTTGTAGCTTCCAAACAGTCTTCAAACATAGCCCCACACAGAGCGTGTTACAGTAGTCTATCTGGGATGTAACTAGAGTATGGACTACCGTGGCCAAGCCTGACTGTCATCTTGAGGAGAGAGTGAGCAGGCTGAAGTCAGACTTGGCCACGGTAGTCCACACTCTAGTTACATCCCAAGTTACATCCCCAAGGTACGGGAAGTACTTTGTACTTCCATGACACCCCATATTGCCTACTCCATACTCCATAGTACCAAAAACTATTGGCATTTTCTAGGTGCTTCAGTGCAACTCCATGTTATTCTTGAGCCCAAAGCCCTGTTTCCATAGGATCCAAGGTTTCTTGAAAGCACCCAATTCCCCCAGTTGGCAGGAGATCCAGAGGTGCCCATCTTCTCCCACCTTCTCAGCAACCTTCATTCTTCTGTGTACCCCTCAGCCATGTCCACCTCTCAATTCATCCATCTTCCCCTCCCCATCCACCCAAAGCATCCGGACCCAAAAAATGCACAAAGGAACTCAAGCTGTGTTGCTACTATGACATTTATTCTCCTCTGAAGCAAAGTCCTGGGTCCTGCCTCTGGATCGCACCTCTGACCGATCCCAGGCCCCACCTCCATCTGCCCCTGGTCTTGCCTCGTCCCCTCTGGCCTCTCCTTCTACACAGCCAGGTTCTCTGTTGAGGACAGAGAGCACCGCGTTACTCAAGGAGATCAAATGGACTGCAACACCCAGAGCTCACCAAGCCCCCTCTTCCCCACATCTGGTGACTTCTGAGGAGACCAAAACAGCCCTCCTGGATGAAGATCAGAAGAAGGCAACCATTATGGAGCTCACAATTCCCTTTGAGACCTGGAGAGAAGTTGTCTTCTTTCGAATCGTGGATGTTGTAGGACATGAAGCAAGAAGGGCTCATCTCCACCCAACACTCCAAGGTGCATAGAATTATGGAATCATAGAGTTGGAAGAGACCTCGTGGGCCATCCAGTCCAACCCCATTCTGCCAAGAAGCAGGAAAAAGCTAGTGTCGTCTTGAGGAGAGAGTGAGCACGCCGAAGCCTGTTAGAGTTAGTGGGTCAAAGCCGGTGTCGTCCTGAGGAGTATGAGTTAACCTCAGTTTGAGAGAAGCCTCGTGTGAGAAAACTCCAATGTGACGGCTGCTGTGTGTAAAGCAGCTATGTATTTGTTTGTTTGTGTTATGGAAACCTAGTTCATAGAATCCTAGAGTTGGAAGAGACCTCGTGGGCCATCCAGTCCCAAGAAACAGGAAAATGCTAGTGTCGTCTTGAGGAGAGAGTGAGCAGGCCGAAGCCTGGTAGAATTAGTGGGCCAAAGCTGGTGTCATCCTGAGGAGTGTGAGGTAAACCTCAGTGTGAGAGAAGCCTCGTGTGAGAAAACTCCAGTGTGATGGCTGCTGTGTGTAAAGCAACTATGTATTTGTTTGTTTGTGTTATGGAAACCTAGTTCATAGAATCCTAGAGTTGGAAGAGACCTCATGGGCCATCCAGTCCAACCCCATTCTTCCAAGAAGCAGGAAAATTGCATTCAAAGCACCCCCGACAGATGGCCATCCAGCCTCTGTTTAAAAGCCTCCAAAGAAGGAGCCTCCACCACACTCTGGGGCAGAGAGTTCCGCTGCTGAACAGCTCTTACAGTCAGAAAGTTCTACCTGACGTTCACATAGAATCTCCTTTCTTGTATTTTGAAGCCATTGTTCCATTGCGTCCTAGTCTCCAGGGAAGCAGAAAACAAGCTTGCTCCCTCCTCCCTGTGGCTTCCTCTCACATATTTATACATGGCTATCATATCTCCTCTCAGCCTTCTCTTCTTCAGGCTAAACATGCCCCGCTCCTTAAGCCGCTCCTCATAGGGCTTGTTCTCCAGACCCTTGATCATTTTAGTTGCCCTCCTCTGGACACATTCCAGCTTGTCAATATCTCTCTTCAATTGTGGTGCCCAGAATTGGACACAATATTCCAGGTGTGGTCTAACCAAGGCAGAATAGAGTGGGGAGCATGACTTCCCTAGATCTAGACACTATGCTCCTATTGATGCAGGCCAAAATCCCATTGGCTTTTTTTGCCGCCGCATCACATTGTTGGCTCATGTTTAACTTCCTCCCCACGAGGACCCCAAGATCTTTTTCACACGTCCTGCTCTCGAGCCAGGCGTCCCCCATTCTGTCTCTTTGCATTTCATTTTTTCTGCCTAAGTGGAGTATCTTGCATTTGTCCCTGTTGAACTTCATTTTGTTAGTTTTGGCCCATCATCTGTCTAATCTGTTAAGATCGTTTTGAATTCTGCTCCTGTCCTCTGGAGTGTTGGCTATCTCTCCCAATTTGGTGCCCTCTAACCTTTCACCGAAGTCATTAATAAAGATGGTTGTCTGTACATGAGGCAGGGCATGGTGGACAAGCATACAGATGCAGAGTTGTCTGTACATGAGGCAGGGCACAGTGGACAAGCATACAGATGCGGAGTTGTCTGTACATGAGGCAGGGCATAGTGGACAAGCATACAGGTGCGGAGTTGTCTGTACATGAGGCAGGGCACAGTGGACAAGCATACAGATGCGGAGTTGTCTGTACATGAGGCAGGGCATAGTGGACAAGCATACAGGTGCGGAGTTGTCTGTACATGAGGCAGGGCACAGTGGACAAGCATACAGATGCGGAGTTGTCTGTACATGAGGCAGGGCATAGTGGACAAGCATACAGATGCGGAGCTGTCTGTACATGAGGCAGGGCATAGTGGGCAAACATACAGATGCAGAGTTGTCTGTACATGAGGCAGGGCATAGTGGACAAGCATACAGATGCGGAGTTGTCTGTACATGAGGCAGGGCACAGTGGACAAGCATACAGATGCGGAGTTGTCTGTACATGAGGCAGGGCATAGTGGACAAGCATACAGATGCGGAGTTGTATGTACATGAGGCAGGGCATAGTGGACAAGCATACAGATGCGGAGTTGTATGTACATGAGGCAGGGCATAGTGGACAAGCATACAGATGCGGAGTTGTCTGTACATGAGGCAGGGCATAGTGGACAAGCATACAGGTGCGGAGTTGTCCGTACATGAGGCAGGGCATAGTGGACAAGCATACAGGTGCGGAGTTGTCCGTACATGAGGCAGGGCATAGTGGACAAGCATACAGATGCGGAGTTGTCTGTACATGAGGCAGGGTATAGAGGGCAAACATACAGATGCAGAGCTGTCTGTACATGAGGCAGGGCATAGTGGACAAGCATACAGATGCAGAGTTGTGTGTACATGAGGCAGGGCATAGTGGGCAAGCATACAGATGCGGAGTTGTCTGTACATGAGGCAGGGTATAGAGGGCAAACATATAGATGCAGAGCTGTCTGTACATGAGGCAGGGCATAGTGGACAAGCATACAGATGCGGAGTTGTCTGTACATGAGGCAGGGCATAGTACACAAGCATACAGATGCAGAGTTGTCTGTACATGAGGCAGGGCATAGTACACAAACATACAGATGTGGAGTTGTCTGTACATGAGGCAGGGCATAGTGGACAAGGATACAGATGCGGAGTTGTCTGTACATGAGGCAGGGCATAGAGGGCAAACATACAGACGTGGAGTTGTCTGTACATGAAGCAGGGCATAGTGGGCAAGCATACAGATGCAGAGTTGTCTGTACATGAGGCAGGGCATAGTGGGCAAGCATACAGATGCAGAGTTGTCTGTACATGAGGCAGGGCATTGTGAACAAGCATACAGATGCAGAGTTGTCTGTACATGAGGCAGGGCATTGTGAACAAGCATACAGATGCAGAGTTGTCTGTTCTGCTCCACAGACACACAAGGGGTGGGATTCTTTTAGGTAGTGTCATTTTGCCAGGCTCTCTTTTGACATGGATACACCTCAATGCAACACAGATACTCATTTCCACTTGCTTCTCTTACCTTGACTGGCAGAGTGGAACACTGCGACGAAGTCCACATTTCGAGGCTGCTGTAGGAAGGGCCCTCCGCCAAGTTGAAGCACAGCTTCTCCTCGCTTTCCAGGTCCGTGCAGCAGCTCCGCCCCGAAGACATGCTGATCACGATGGCGCTGGTGTTGTCCGCCCGAAGCATGCGCTGCCTCCACCGGCCCAGGGCTCGGTTCACCAGCATTTTGGCCAAGGACTGTTGGTGCTCTCCCTTTGGTAAGGAGGGGGAAAGAGGAGGACAGTCAACATCCTGTATATGCCAACACTCCATGACGAAGAGTGGAAGCTTAAAGAAAGCCTACACGTAGTCTTAATTCACCACCCTATACAGCAGTGTTTCTCAACCTTCCTTAATGCAGTTCCTCATGTGGTGGTGACCCCCAACCTAGCCCCACTCTGTCAGCCTCAGAGGAAGACAAAGGCAACTCTCTCAACCATAACATTATTTTCGGTGCCATTTCACAACTATAATTGTGCTACTGTTGTGAATCGTCATGTAAATACCTGATATGCAGGATGTATTTTCATTCACTGGACCAAATTTGGCACAAATACCCAATACGTCCAAATCTGAATAATGGTGGGATTGTGAGGGATTGATTTTTGTCATTTGGGAGTTGTAGTTGCTGGGATTTATAGTTCACCTACAATCAAAGAGCATTCTGAACTCCACCAACGATGGAATGAAACCAAACTTTGCACACAGAATTCCCATGGCCAACAGAAAATACAGGAAGGGTTTGGTGGGCACTGACCTTGAGTTTTGGAGTTGTAGTTTACCTACATCCAGAGAACACTGTGGTCTCAAACAATGATGGTTCTGAACCAAACTTGGAACAAATACTCCAATATGCCCAAATGTGAACACTAGGGGTCGCGACTCCTGGGGGGGTTGTGAGGGGATATCAGAGGGGTCACGAAAGACCATCAGAGAACACAGTAAATGGGAAGTTTGGCCCAATTCTATTATTGGTGGAGCTCAGAATGCCCTTTGATTGTACTTGGGACAAACACTCCAATATGCCCAAATGTGAACACTGGTGGAGTTTGGGGAAAATAGACCTTGTCATTTGAGAATTGCTGGGATGTCAAGGTCTATTTTCCCCAAACTCCACCAGTGTTCACATTTGGGCATATTGGAGTATTTGTCCCAAGTACAATCAAAGAGCATTCTGAGCTCCACCAATAATAGAATTGGGCCAAACTTCCCATTTACTGTGTTCTCTGATGGTCTTTCGTGACCCCTCTGATATCCCCTCACAACCCCCCCAGGAGTCGCAACCCCCAGGTTGAGAAACGCTGCTATACAGGCAGCCCCTGACTTACAAACGACTCATAGTTAAGCAACAGGAAGTGAGAGAAATCTACCGCTTGGGAAAGGAAATCCATTCCTGAAAGAGGTATAATCAGGAAGAAAAGGCGTCTCCACTGAAGCTTTGTCTCCAATCCTTGTTTTCACAACAAGTCAACAATTTTCAAAATCCAATTCTCACAGGGACAGTAAGTGAGGTGAAATCTTCTGGACAGGGGCACAGACCGCAAGGGAAACAATATTATATGTATATACAATATATTATATTATATTATATTATAAGCACAGTGCAGGAGACAAGATGGAGCTGCCTTGCTAGCCCCTTTCTTCATTCTGCTCTCAAAGCAATGGTTGGTGCGTATGTGTGTGTGTGTGTATGTATGCTATGAAGGCAGTTCCATCTTCCCTCCTGTGTCATCAGTTGGGAGACCCCCCCCCCCTCCAGCACCAACCGCTGCTCTGAGATCAGAGTGAAAAGAAGGGCCAGGAAGGCGGTTCCATCTTGTCTCCTGCACTGTGCTTATAATAATATAATATATTGTATGTATGTATGTATGTATATATGTGTGTGTGTGTGTATATATAGGTAAGATTATAATGTAATACAATATACTACTACTTCTAATAATAGTATGATATTATAATTATATATTTTATATTAAAAGTAATATTACTAATAATATTACAGGAGAATGTTATAGTACAATATAATATATAATATTAATATTGTGCTATGAAAACAATATAATAGGTTGTATTTACTTTTTACTTGTAAGCTGTTCTGAGTTCCCTTCGGGGTGAGAAGGGCGGCATATAAATGATGTAAATATATATATATATATATACACACACACACACACACACACACAAATACATTGTGTGTATGTATATATATATGTTTGTGTGTGTGTGTGTGGAGTTACACTTAAAATGTACTTGTTCTGACTTACAACCAAATTCAACTTAAGAACAATCCAACAGAACCTGTCTTGTTCACAACTTGAGGACTGCCTGTATACAGAAATATCAAGATCAACACATGCTTTCAGTACCGTTTCAACTCAGTTCATGCTCACCATAAAATACTTCTTCTCTTCATGGTCCTGACACATGGAAATGGCTTCCTGGGGAGAGATCATGTTCCACAGCCCATCACTGCCCAGAATGATGTATTTGTGCTTTTGGGGATCCAGCGTGTGGACGCTTGTGTCCGGCTCCGGAGACACAATGAATTCGCCGCTGTAGAAGTCGTAGCTCCATAGGTCGCCTGGGTTGGGAAAGGCAAGATGTCAGGGCAAAACACCAAGAGGCAGAGAGATGTCTTGCCTGAAAAGTGATGGAAGTCATCATCCCCAAATGCAATATGATTGGTACACAATTGTCTTTGGTTATGAAAAAAAAATCCATCTGTGTGTGTGTGTGTGTTTGTATACATGTATGGCAAGCTATTTAACCCCAGCAGACTAAAAGCCAAAACCAAGGTTACAACAACATCTGTTATAGAGCTCCAGTATGCTGATGATAACGTCATCTGTGCGCATTCAGAAGAAGACCTACAAGCCACTCTAAACACCTTCGCAGAAGCATACGAGAAGCTCAGCCTGTCATTGAACATTGAGAAAACCAAAGTGCTCAAAGTCACAAGCCAACCCCTCTCCAATACCAAAATCACAACTTAATGGTGTAACATTAGAAAATGTTGACCATTTCCACTCCCTTGGCAGCCACTGCTCCACAAAAGTCAACATTAACACCGAAATACAACACTGCCTGAGCTCTGCGAGTGCAGCATTTTTCCGAATGAAGCAGAGAGTGTTTGAGGACCGGGACATCTGTAGGGATACCAAAGTGCTTGTTTATAAAGCTACTAGCCGTCCCCTGCCATGTGTTGCTGTGGCCCACATGGGGGTTCTGTGTGGGGGGTTTGGCCCAATTCTATCATTGGTGGAATTCAGAATGCTCTTTGATTATAGGTGAACTACAAATTCCAGCAACTACAACTCCCGAATGTCAAGACTCTATTTTCCCCAAACTCCACCAGTGTTCACATTTGGGCATATTGAGTATTCTTGTAGAGTTTGGTCCAGATCCATCATTGTTTGTGTCCACATTGATCTTTCACACGTTGCTGTGGCCCACATGAGGGTTGTGTGTGGGGGGTTTGGCCCAATTCTATCATTGGTGGAATACAGAATGCTCTTTGATTGTAGGTGAACTATAAATCCCAGCAATACAACTCCCAAATGTCAAGATTCTATTTTCCCCAAACTCCACCAGTGTTCACATTTGGGCATATTGATTCGTGTAGAGTTTGGTCCAGATCCATCATTGTTTGAGTCCACAGTGATCTCTGGATGTAGGTGAACTACAACTCCAAAACCAAAGGACACTGCCCACCAAACCCTTCCAGTCTTTTCTGTTGGTCATGGAAGAACTGTGTGCCAAGTTTGGTTCAATTCCATCATTGGTGGGGTTCAGAATGCTCTTTGATTGTAGGTGAACTATAAATCCCAGCAACTACAACTCCCAAATGACAAAATCATTTTTTTTTTTGAGTGAAGGACATACATTGGGTTGTTAGGTGTCTTGTGTCCAAATTTGGTGTCAATTCATCCAGTGGTTTTTGAGTTCTGTTAATCCCACAAACGAACATTACATTTTTATTTATATAGATAATGTAATACAATATACTATAATACTACTACTAATATATTATAATTATATATATTTATATTGTTTGTTTGTTTGTTTGTTTGTTTGTTTGTTTGTTTGGATAGATAGATAGATAGATAGATAGATAGATAGATAGATAGATAGATAGATAGATAGGAAGATAGATAGATAGATAGATAGATAGATAGATAGATAGATAGATAGATAGGAAGATAGATAGGAAGATAGATAGATAGATAGATAGATAGATAGATAGATAGATAGATAGATAGATAGATAGATAGATAGATAGATAGATAGATAGATAGATAGATAGATAGGATAGATAGATAGATAGATAGGAAGATAGATAGGAAGATAGATAGATAGATAGATAGATAGATAGATAGATAGATAGATAGATAGATAGATAGATAGATAAAAAGAGATAATTCAGGTCATTAGCTGCCCCTGAAACAACCACATTCTCGCAAGACGGAAAGGAGCAATTCAAATCAATTACTCCTTTTTACTAGAGCAAAAGGAGAAAAACACAAAACAGCCCTCTCTCAATCCTGGTTCAAGAGCTAATTCACCTCCGCTGCAGCAGACAAGAGGCTGGAGAAAAGCCTGCGCTTCCATTAAAATCACTAATTAAAAAATGTAAACGGCTACGGCAGCCGAGGGCCGCTCAGCCCATCTGCCAATTAGCACAGGAAGGCCAGAAGAGCAACAATATTGAGGCGGCCGCTTCACGGAAGCAGCTGCTGCTGGGTCATTATAACCCAGGTAAGTGGCACTAAGTGCCAACCAAAGCAAACAACAGGTAATAAGGCCGAAACTGTGCCAGGGATGGGGAAATAGCTCGTTTTCAGTAAGTTCTCGAATTTCTGGAAATTTCAAAACTTGGAAACTCCCAAATCTTTAGGGAAAAAACCAAAATCTAATTATCCGCCTCCTTTGCAAATTGAATGTCACTGTGGCTGCATCTAAACCAGTGTTTTTGAACATTTTAATGTTTGTGTTGACCTACAATCATAATATTGTTTTCATTACTACTCCATTACTGTAATTTTGCTCCTGTTATGAATTGTAATGTAAATATCGGATATGCAGGATGTATTTTCATTCACTGGACCAAATTTGGCACAAATACCCGATACACCAAAATTTGAATACTGGTGGAGTTGGGGGAGGGATTGATTTTGTCGTTTGGGAGTTGTAGTTGCTAGGATTTATAGTTCACCTACAACTAAAGAGCATTCTGAACATTACCAATGATGGCATTGAACCAAACTTGGCACATAGGACTCCCATGACCAATAGAAAATACTGGAAGGGTTTGGTATGCATTGACCTTGAATTTGGGAGTTGTAGTTTACCTATATCCAGAGAGCACTGTGGACTCAATGATGGATCTAGACCAAACTTGGCACAAATACTCAACATGCCCAAATGTGAACACTGGTGGAGTCTGGAGAAAAGAGACATTGACATTTGGGAGTTGTAGTTGCTGGGATTTATAGTTCACCTACAATCAAAGAGCATTCTGAACATTACCAATGATGGCATCGAACCAAACTTGGCACATAGGACTCCCATGACAAACAGAAAATACTGGAAGGAATTGGAGGGGGGCTGATTTTGCCATTTGGGAGTTGTAGTTGCTGAGATTTATAGTTCACCTACAATCAAAGAGCATTCTGAACTTTACCAATGATGGCATTGAACCAAACTTGGCACACAGAACTCCCATGACCAATAGAAAATACTGGAAGAGATTGGAGGGGGGCTGATTTTGTCGTTTGGGAGTTGTAGTTGCTAGGATTTATAGTTCACCTACAATCAAAGTGCATTCTGACCTCCACCAATGAATTGAACCAATCTTGGCACACAGGACTCCCATGACCAAGAGAAAATACTGAAAGGATTTGGTGGACATTGACCTTGAGTTTAGGGAATTGTAGTTCACTTACATCAGAGAACACTGTGCACTCAAACAATGATGGATCTGGACCAAACTTGGCTGGAATCACTGGGTTGCTGCAAGTTTTTTTGGCTGTATGGCCATATTCCAGAAGCATTCTCTCCTGAAGTTTTGCCTGCATCTATGGCAGCCATCCTCAGAGATTGTGAGGACCTCACAACCTCTGAGGATGCCTGCCATAGATGCCGGTGAAACCTCAGGAGTGAATGCTTCTGGAATATGGCCATACAGCCCAAAAAACTTGCAGCAACCCAGTATTTTATGTTGGTCAGGGAGGTTCTGTGTAGGAAGCTTGGCCCAACTCTTAACGTTGCTGGGGTTCAGAATGCTCTTTGATTGTAGATGAACTATAAATCCCAGAAAATACAACACCCAAATATCAAGATCTATTTTCCCCTAAACTCCACCAGTGTTCACATTTGGGCATATTGAGTATTCGTGCCAAGTTTGGTCCAGATCCATCATTGTTTGAGTCCACATTGCTCTCTGGATGTACGTAGATGAACTACAACTCCAAAACCCAAGGTCAATGCCCATCAGACCCTTCCAGTATTTTCTATTGGTCATGCGGGTTCTGTGTGGGAAGTTTGGCCCAATTCTATCATTGGTGGAGTTTGAAATGCTCTGATTGTAGGTGAACTATAAATCCCAGCAACTACAACTCCCAAATGTCAAAGTCTGTTTTCCCCAAAATCTACCAAAATTCACAATTGAGCATATTGAGTATCCGTGCCAAGTTTGGTCCAGATCCATCATTGTTTGAGTGCACAATGCATGTAAGAGAACTACAACCCCCAAAACTCAAGGTCAATGCCCACCAAACCCTTCCAGTATTTTCTGTTGGTCATGGGAGTTCTGTGTGCCCAGATTGGTTCAACTCCATTGCTGGTGGAGTTCAGAATACTCTTTGATTGTAGGTGAACTATAAATCCCAGCAATTTAGAGTCCAAAAGTGAAAATATTGGAGAGTGGCACAAAATATTCATGAAGCAGAATATAGGATTGCGAAGCCGGTGCCAGAGGGAATTCTCTCATTCGTGGGAAGGAAGGGTTAATTGAACTCAGCACTGCATAATTAAAACACAAACCTTCTGCTCGTCTCCATCTGGCTTTTGTTTCCTTACAATAGGATGCAAGGGGGGGGGGGCGCAATATTTTTTGCTGCATACATTTCTGACAATCGTTTCCAAACCAAGCTCAGTTGAGGCCGACCGCATGGGTACAAGCCTCCTCTCCTCCTTCCGTTGAATCTCGTAAGCTACCAACCATTTGTCTAGCTTGCTGTCGACCTTTGCAGCACCAAAGACAGTTGCATCTTTCAAGCAGGAAATTTATGTATCGCTAATTTACGACGCCATAAAACTCTCCAGTAGGGTGCAAAAGAATGAGGAAGTACTCCATTGGTGTCACAAATGGACGATGAAGCAACAGCTCCCCCGGTGGCCAGAATTCAAAAGCATACCCTCATGAAGCTGGAAAGTTAAATAGCCTCTGTGTGTCTATCTATATATGTTGTGTGTCTACGGCATTGATTGTTTGCCATGTATATGTGCATTATGATCCGCCCTGAGTCCCCTGCGGAGTGAGTACGGCGGAATATAAATACTGTAAATAATATATATATATATATTCCAAATGGCAATTGCCTATTAATATTCTGTGCCCTGTGTTCCGACAGGTTCAAGGACTCAATAGATTAAGCCATGGCCGTGAAAGTGGTGCCAAAGTGCATTAATGTTACAGTGCAGACACACCAAGAGCTATTTCATTTTGCGGATCTGATTCAAATGGCAAACCTGTCAAATTGTCCTTTTCTATGGTTCCCATCCCTAATCTTTCCATGTTATTCCCACCTAGGGAACACATATACTTGTTGAGCGAGGCATAGATACAAATATCAGTTTCATTCACTTCCAAAGATAACTCTGATTTTATATGAGTTATATCCAGTTTATATATATATATATATATATATATATACACACACACACACACACACACACACACACACACACACACAGACATACACACACAAACATATATCTATATAAATAAAAATGTAATGTTCGTTTGTGGGATTGACATAACTCAAAAACCACTGGATGAATTGACACCAAATTTGGACACAATACACCTATCAGGCCAACAAATGACCAACACTCATAAAAAAACATAAAAACACAGTGGAAGAGACTTAAAAAGCCAAAAAATAAAAATACATTACAACGCATATGCAAAATCACATATATACACAAATATATATACACACATATACACATTTATACAGACACAAAACACATATACACAGACTGGGCCACAGCAACGCGTGGCAGGGACGGCTAGTATCTATATAAATAAAAATGTAATGTTTGTTTGTGGAATTAACATAATACAAAAGTCACTGGACAAATTGACACCAGATTTGGACACAATACACCTATCAGGCCAACAAGTGACCATCACTCATAAAAACACTGAAAAACACAGCAGAAGGGACTTAAAAAGCAAAAAAAATAAAAACTACATTAGAAAGCATGCACAAAACCTCTCTCTCTCACACACACACACATATATATACACACATGCAAACACACATATATACACATATACACAAATATATATACACACAAAGCCCATATACACATTCTGGGCCACAGCAACGTGTGCCAGGGGACAGCTAGTACATACATATAACATTTTTAAGTCTCTTCTGCTGTGTTTTTCAGTGTTTTTGAGTGATGGTCACTCGTTGGCCTGAGAGGTGTCTTATGTCCAAATTTGGTGTCAATTTGTCTGGTGGTTTTTGAATTCTTTTAATTCCACAAACGAACATTATGTTTTTATTTATATATATATTAGCCCTCCCCTGCCACACGTTGCTGTGGCCCAGTCTGGTGATCTGGAAAATAAAGTAATGAGAAAGTGTTGGTTTCTAATAGATGTAATTTCTTCCTGCTTGTGGGTAAACAGTATTTCTTGCTGTTTCTTTGTCAGTGTTGATGTGGAGATTGCCTGGTTTGCCTACTCTGGAACACGCAACATATCATCCTTCTTTAGGGGTCCCTTTCAAATCTAGGATACTATATCTGTGTGTGTGTGAATCATATATATCTTTATGGTTGGATGGCTCTCTGTTAGGAGGGCTTTGATTACGTTTTCTTGTCCTGCTGAAGGGAGTTGGACTGGATGGCCTTAAGTATTTTCTGTTGGTCATGGGGGTTCTGTGTGGGAAGTTTGCCCCAGTTCTGTCATTCGTGGGGTTCATTAAGAATGGTCTTTGTTTGTAGGTGAACTATAAATCTCAGTAACTACAACTCCCAAATGCCAAGGTCTACTTCCCCCAAACTCCATCTGTGTTCATATTTGAGCATATGGAATAATCGTGCCAATTTTGGTCCAAATCCATCATTGTTTGAGTCCACAGTGTTCTCTGTAGGTGAACTACAACTCCCAAACTCAAGGTCAATGCCCAGCAAACCCTTCTAGTGTTTTCTGTTGGTCATGGAAGTCCTGTGTGCCAACTTTGGTTCAATTCCATCATTGGTGGTGTTCAGAATGCGCTTTGATTATAAGTAAACTATAAATCCCAGCAACTACAACTCCCAAATGAGAAAATCAATTTTTTTGAGTGATGGTCACTCATTGGGTTGTTAGGCGTATGCTGTCCAAATTTGGTGTCAATTCTCCCAGTGGTTTTGGAGTTCTGTTAATCCCACAAACGAACATTACATTTTTATTTATATAGATGTATAAGGCGACCACATTCTTAAACCAAGGGAAGCTCTGGGAGGCAAAATGATGGAGTTTTGATATAACCCACGGATATGTTGAAGGTTGGAGTGAATAGAGGGTTATCCTAGTATGGAGTAAGCTCTTGCCTTTCGCCACTCTACTCAGAGAAGAGGCTTTTGCGGCTGATTTTCAGACTACACTTTCTAGATGGAGACCCGAATCTAGAGGTGTCTCTCCCCAGCTTAAACTGTTACACTCACCAAGGGCACGGGCCACTGCCAGGAAAGGGATCTGGTCCATGACGGTGCTCCGCCTCACAGGGCCGTTGTGCGTCAGGCAAGGTCTTTTCCACACAACCCGATTGACACCGGATTTGTTGATCACGCTAGAAGGGACAGGGAAGGGAAGCCAAAACAGGTGGCGAAAGAGGGAGGGAGGAAACAAATGCATTCTATTAAAAAGACAGGGGAAAAAACCTCGTACCGAACAGGAATGTTTCTCCTTAGGAGGTTTTTAAGAGAACCTTCTCAGTTTGGGACACATTTCCACCCTGATGAAGAATCCTATACAACTTGGAAGTTCACTTTTTAAAAATACTAATGATACTACTACTACTACTACTACTAATAATAATAATAATATTAATGTATTGTTGAAAGCTTTCATGGCCAGAATCACTGGTTTGTTGTGAGTTTTCTGGGCTGTCTGGCCATGTTCCAGAGACATGCTCTCCTGATGTTTTGCCTGCATCTATGGCAGGCATCCTCAGAAATAGGGAGACCTCACAACCACTGAGGATGCCTGCCATAGATGCAAGCAAAACGTCAGGAGAACATGCCTCTGGAACATGGCCAGACAGCCCGGAAAACTCACCACAAACTAATAAAATTAATAATAATATATTTTATTTGTTATCTGCCTCAAGATTGAAGCAGGGTACAACACAGTGAAAATACATAGATAAAAAAAGACCAATGTTAATAATAGTAATAATAATGGGACCAAGCATTTGGTCTAAAAACAAGACCAATAATAATAATAATAATAATAATAATAGTAGTAGTARTAATAATAATGGGATCAAGCATTTGGTCTAAAACCAAGACCAATAATAATAATAATAACAATAAAAATAGTAATAATAATGGGACCAAGCATTTGGTCTAAAAACAAGACCAATAATAATAATAATAATAATAATAATAATAATAATAATAATATAGTAATAATAATAGGACCAAGCATTTGGTCTAAAGAAAAGACCAATAATAATAATAATAATAATAATAATAATAATAATAATAATAATAATATAGTAATAATAATGGGACCAAGCATTTGGTCTAAAAAAAAGACCAATAATAATAATAATAATAATAATAATAGTWGTAGTAATAATAATGGGATGAAGCATTTGGTCTAAAAACAAGACCAATAACAACAATAATAGTAATAATAATGGGACCAAGCATTTGCACAGTGATTCCTAGTGCAACAATCGATGTTTCAGAGCAATAATGAACAATACAATGACAATTGGGATGGTTCCTGGTATATCTTTTCGGATGGGGTGATTGTAAATAATTCTTTAATTGGTATGTTTTAACTACGTCCTTTTAAATTATATGTTGTTTTATTTTTTTCTAAATTATAATTTCTCAACCTGGGGGTCGGGATCCCTGGGGGAGATCACAAGGGATTGTCACAGGGGTCCCCAAGACCATGAGAAAACACAGTATTTTCTATTTGTCATGGCAGTTCTGTGTGGGAAGTTGGGCCCTATTCTATCGTTGCTGGGGTTCAAAATGCTCTTTGATTGTAGGCGAACTATCAATACCAACCACTACAACTTCCAAAGGTCTAATATTACTAAAATATGGTGTTTTGGTGTTTTACCTGCCCCCGAGGCCTTCGATCCGCTGCCGCTCCTTGGGGAGCTCCGGCTTGTGGTCCTGCGTCACCTCCACAGCCCGGACAAAGTCGTCTTTGGGGTCATCCTGGACGCCGAGCACCACGCCGGAGTCGCCCACGTGCGCCACGTACATCTTGGAGCCCCGGATGATGACCACGCTGGCTGTCGTCCCCGACGTGCTCGGAAGGCCGCTCATCGTCTTCGGCCACTCGGCTGCAGAGAAGCGAGAGAAAGATGTGAACTCTGGAGGCTTTTAAGTAGAGGACGGATGGCCATCTGTCGGGAGGGCTTTGATTGTGCCTTCCTGCATGGCACGGCATTTCTCTGGGTGGCCCTCTAGGATTCTATGATTCTCATTCTCACAGAAGGTACGAGATCTCTTTTGCCCAAAAGATGATATTATTATTATTATTATTATTATTATTATTACTATTTTACTGACACAAAAACACAGTATGTCACAGCAAATGAGATCTGTATGCTATTATTATTATTATTATTATTATTATTATTATTATTAGCTGTCCCCTGCCACCTGCTGCTGTGGCCCACTCTGCATATATATGTGTTTTGTGTGTGTGTATATATGTGTGTATATATTTGTGTATATGTGTATATATGTGTGTTTGTGTATATATATGTGGGTGTATATATGTGTGGGTGTATATGTGTATATATATTTGTGTGTTTCTATGTGTATATATGTATATTGTGTATATAGATGCATGTATGTGTATATTTATATTTGTGTGCATGTGTATATGTATACATGTATGTATGTGTGCATGTGTATATTTGTGTGTGTTAATGTGTATATGTATATATGTGTGTATGTATATGCATGTATATTTATGTGTGCTTTTGTGTGTGTGTGTGTGTATCTATATATATATATATATACAAGTGTGTATATATGTGTTCATTTGTATATGTATATGAGTGTATGTGTATATGTATATATGGTGTATTTTGGGGTTTTTTAAGTCCATTCTGCGGGGTGGGTGGGGTGTTGTGTTTTTAGAGTGATGAACACTCGTCGAACTGTTAGGCGTATTGTGTCCAAATTTGGTGTCAATTCCCCCAGTGGTTTTTGAGTTCTGTTAATCCCACAAACGAACATTACATTTTTATTTATACAGATTATTATTATTATTATTATTATTATCTATTACATATGGCCTGGCCTTAAGGTTTTAAAATTTATATATTATATTAATTAATAGCTATATTAATTGTATTGCTTTATTTACTTACTGCTTTGTTGTTTTACTGATGTGTTGTTGGGCTTGGCCTCATGTAAGCCCATGATGACCACACTCCCGTTGGGGAGATGGTGGTGGGTTATAAATAAAAATTATTTATTATTATTATTATTATTATTATTATTATTATTATTATTATTATTTCCTCTTGACATCAGGACCCAAAGCAGTCAGAAATGCCGTCTGTTCACTTAAGGTGAGTGAGAATTATCCATACTACAATATTTTCAATAATTATTTCTTTTTTTTCCAGCATCATTCCTAATATCCATCTAATAAATAGTCTTTGAAAGCCTATAAGGATGACATGTATACTAGATAATTGCAATAGTATATGTTGTGCATTGCTCAGACTTTGAAGGGAGGGAGGGAAGAACAGTCAGGCACAACTGGAAGGTGATTGCAGTTTGGCACCACTTGGAAGTGTTTTGGGCTCAATGCTAAAGAAACCTGGGATTTATAGTTTGGTGAAGCTGCAGCGCAGGAAAAATTATAGGTAAATGAAAACTATATGCCTTCTGATTCCACAGCATAAAGCCACTGCAGTTCAAGTGGCGTCAAGCTGCACTAATTTACACTTAGGTGTAAATGCACCCAAGGAAATAATTATGGGATTTCGTTGCGGCACCAGTTCGGCCAGTCCTGACGTTTTACGCAAGATCGGTATTTCAAGATTGCTGCAAAAGCTTCACAGCAGCAGCATATTTATTTATTTATTGACCATATTTATATTCTGCCCTTCTCACCCCGCAGGGGACTCAGGGAAGATTACAATGCACATATACATGGCAGACATTCAGTGCCATTAGACATATAGCATATATAGACAGATACAGAGGCAATTTAACATGCCAGCTTTCCGGCTTCATGAAGATATGCTCGATTCTGGCCACAGGGGGAGCTGTCGCTTCACCGTCCACTTGTGACAGAGTCTCTGATCTAGTACTTCCTCAGTCTTATGCACGCTGCTGGAAGGTTTTTATGGTGTCGTAAATTAGTTAAAGTAGCCTCCCCGCATAAAGCTGTACCTAAATTTCTTACTTGACAGATGCAACTGTCTTTCAGGCTGCATAGGTCAACAGCAAGCTAGACTATTAATGGTTGGGAGCGCACTCCGACTCAAGCTGGCATTGAACTCATGTAGTGTTTTAATGCAGCTGGCTACTAACCAGCTGTGCCACAGCCCAGTTTATTAAGGCAAGCATATACAACTGGTTTAGCTATTTGCCATTCCTTTCTGACAGCTTGGGCCTCTTCTACACTACCAGATAATCCAGATTATTAAAGCAGAAAATCCACATTATTATTATTATTATTATTTTACTGACACAAAAACACAGTATGTCACAGCAAATCAGATATACATGCTGGATTTCATATGTTATATATTATTATATATATTATTAAAATATAATTTTACCAAAATAATATTTATTATTATTATTATTATTTTAACTGGATTATCTTAGTCTACACTGCCATATAATCCAGTTCAAAGCAGATCATGTGGATTTCATAGAGTGATGTAGAAGGGGCTTCCCTAAAAGTGCTGGACTACAACTCCCATAATCCCCAACACAGGTTGGGGATTATGGCTTGGTAGCTATGGCTTCCCCTGCTCCCACTACAACTCTCATCATCCCCAATCAGCAGAAAAGTTTTGTGGGGAGGGGCTTAGGGAAGGGGGCAAAGCATTGATTGAGGTGCTGATGCACCCTGAGCTTGGCAAGAATTGGTTCCCAAGCTCCTATTGCAACTACCATCATCCTCAACATGCAGAAGAGCTTTGTGAGGAGGAGAGGAGCTTAGAGAGAGGGGGAAATGCCTGATTCTGGTGCACATGCACTCTGGGCCGGGAAGGAATGGGTTCGCATGCTCCTACTACAACTCCCATCATCCCCAATATGCAGATAAGCTTTGTGAGAAGGGGAATAGCTTAGGGAGAGGGAGGGAAGCCCTGACGGATGTGCAGATGCACCCTGGGATTGACAGGAATGGGTTCCCATGCTCCTACTACAACTCCCATTCCCAATATGCAGATAAGCTTTGTGAGGAGGGGAATGGCTTAGGAAGAGGGAGGGCAGCCCTGATGGATGTGCAGATGCACCCTGGGATTGACAGGAATGGGTCCCCATGCTCCTACTACAACTCCCATCATCCCCAATATGCAGATGAGCTTTGTGAGGAGGGGAATGGCTTGGGGAGAGGGGGAAAGCACTGATTCAGGTGCATATGCACCCTGGGATTGACAGGAATGGGTCTCCATGCTCCTACTACAACTCCCATCATCCCCAATATGCAGAAGAGTTTTGTGAGGAGGGGAATGGCTTAGGGAGAGGGAGGGAAGCCCTGATGAAGGCACAGATGCCACCTGGGCTTGGCAGGAATGGGTCCCCATGCTCCTACTACAACTCCCATCATCCCCAATATGCAGATAAGCTTTGTGAGAAGGGGAATAGCTTAGGGAGAGGGAGGGAAGCCCTGATGGAGGCGCAGATGCCACCTGGGCTTGGCAGGAATGAGTTCCCATGCTCCTACTACAACTCCCATCATCCCCAATATGCAGATGAGCTTTGTGGGGAGGGGAATGGCTTATGGAGAGGGAGGGAAGCCCTGATGGAGGCGCAGATGCACTCTGGGATTGTCAGGAATGCCCCCCCCCCCCCAGCGCTCCTACTCCGACTCCCACCCGGCGGGGCCTACTCACGGAGCTGCTTCCACATGGCGCGGTGGCAGGCGAGGAAGCCCTTGCGGAGGGCGGCGCAGACGGCGCGGGGCTCGGCGGAGCGGAACCCCTTCTGCTTCTTGATGAAGGCCCAGAGGTGCTCCCGGGCGAAGAGGGCCGCCTCCCGCCCGCCGTGCCCGTCGCACACCGCGAAGAAGGCCACCGAGCGGGCCCCCTTCGAGGCCTCCTCCTTCTCGGGCTCCACCAGGATGTGGGTGACGTCCTCCATGTACTTGCGCCCGCCTTGGTCCGAGAAGAGGCTCACCCGCAGCGCGCACTCCGCCCCGGACGCCATCCGCGTATTGTTGTGAGGGGATGGGGAGACCCTCCTGCGCATGCGCCGCCGCCGCGGACAGGGCACAATCGCCGACGGAACGCGGCGCAGCCCAACCTTCCACGCGCGCAAGGAGGACGCCCCCTCCCTCCCTCCATCCACCCATCAATCACAGGGACTGGGCCCGCCCCCTCTGCGCAGGCGCGGAACCGACCACAATCAGGGATGGAACGCTGGCAACACCAACGTTCCATTCCGAGGGAGGCGGGGCTAGGAGCAGCACCAACACAACCAAGATAGAAGAGGATCATGATAATAATTGAACAATAATATTATAATAATTGTATAATAGTCATGTCATAATAGTATAATGGCAATATAATTGTATAATAATTTACTTGTATAATAGTAATATAATTGTATAATAGTAATATTATAACTTATAATTATTATATTGTAATTGTATACTATTATAATTGTATAATAGCCATGTTATATTTGTATAAAATATTATAATTGTATAATAGTAATAGTATAACTGTACAATAATTATATTGTAATGGTATACTATTATAATTGTATAATAGTCATGTTATAATTGTATAATAGCAATATAATTATATAATTTACTTATATAATTCTATAATAGTAATATAATTATATAATAGTAATATCAGAACTGTATAATAATTATATTGTAATTGTATATTATAATTGTATAATAGTCACGTTATAATTGTATAATAGCAATATAATTGTATAATAATTTACTTGTATAATAATATAATAATTGTGTAATAAAGTATAATTGTATATTATTATAATTGAATATTATAATTGTATAATAGTAATATAATTGTATAAAAGTAATAGTATAACTGTATAATTATATTGTAATTGTATACTATTATAATTGTATAATTTACTTGTATAATAATATAATAATTGTGTAATAAAGTATAATTCTATATTATAATTGTATAATAGTAATATAATTGTATAATAATTTACTTGTATAATAATTGTATAATTGTATAATATAGTATAATTGTATATTATAATTGTATAATAATGTTATAACTATATATTATAATTGTACAATATTATAATTGTATAAAAATATTATAATTGTATAATAGTAATATAATTGTATAATAATAGTATAACTGTATAATAATTATATTGTAATTGTATACTATTGTAATTGTATAATATTGAATTTTTGCTCTTGTTGTTATCCGCATTGAGTCGCCTACGGGCTGAGAAACTGCGGTATACAAATAAAGTAAATAAATAAATAAATATAATATAATAGCCATGTTATAATTGTATAATAGCAATGTAATTGTATAATAATTTACTTGCATAATATAATAATTGTATAATATAGTATAATTGTATATTATTATAATTGTATAATAATGTTATAACTATATAATTGTACAATATTATAATTGTATAAATTGTATAATAGTAATATAACAGTATAATAATTATATTGTGTACTATTATAATTGTATAATTACYGTCTATACTCGAGTATAAGCTTAGTTTTTCAGCTCCCTTTTTAGCTGAAAAAGTTCCTCGGCTTATACTCGAGTCAAGGTTATTTATTATTTTACTCTGCTATTAGTATTATTTTTATTACATTTATWATTTTACTCTGTTTATTATTATGATTATTATTAGGATCGTTGATGCATATATCCACAGCTAAGCTACATTGGTTTTAAGTTGATAMATTCCTATATATTTGTATTCTATTTTAATAGGACCAGACGTATGTTGTGTTTGCACTGTCTGTTTTTGATAAGGCCAACTGGCTAATCAATAAAAATTGTTTTTGTTATTACATTTTCATTATTTTAATGTACTATTATTTTATTATATTTATTATTTTACTCCATATTTTACTCCATTATTATATTTATTATTTTACTCTAGTATTACATTTATTATTTTACTCTATTATCATTATTACATTTATTATTTTACCCTCATTATTATTGGAAGGATACGTAAGCACATTTTCATTGAAGAAGGTTAGAATAATGGTTTAATCTGAGTTGGAAAGTCTTATCTTAAATTACAGTTTTATGTAAATACTCAAATACATTTAACCTACTAATGATTACCACTAGCAGCTTATACTGGAGTCAATAAGTTTTCCCAGATTTTTGTGGTAAAATTAGGTGTCTCGGCTTATATTTGGGTCGGCTTATACTCAAGTATATACGGTATATAATAATAATAATTGTACAACCATATATATGTGGAAGTGTCAGGAGCGACATGAGAAACTGCAAGTCACTTCTAGTGTGAGAGAATTGACCGTCTGCAAGGACCTTGCCCAGGGGACGTCAACCGGATGTTTTTGATGTTTTTACCATCCTTGTGGGAAGCTTCTCTCATGTCCCTGCATAAGGAGCTGGAGCTGATAGAGGGAGCTCATCCGCGTTCTCCTCGGATTTGAACCTGCAACCTGTCGATCTTCAGTCCTGCTGGCACAAGGGTTTGACCCACTGCGCCACCAGGGGCTCCACAATAATTATATAATAATTATTGTATAATAATTATATAATAATTACATACAATTATAACAATATTATACAATTATTAAATAATTATATAATAATCATATAATTGTATATTAATATAATTGCATAATAATTATATAATTGTATATTATTATTATTATTGTATAATAATGTTATAATTGTATATTATTATAATTGAATAATAATATACAACCCTAACCCTTAACTTCATACATTGGGATATCTGCAGGCTTCTCTGTCAAAGGAGTTCCTAAGACCATCAGAAATATGTGTTTTCTGATGGTCTTTGGCGACCCCTCTGAAACCCCCTCACGACCACCCCAGGGGTCCCAACCTCCAGATTGAGAAATGCTGCTTTAGGTCATCCATGTACACTAAGTGGGAAATTTTGATGAATTTCTTGCCGTTAGGCAGTCCAGGTTTGTTTTCTGTAGAATTGCTGACAGTGGGATCATTGCAATGATGAACAACAGTGGTAACAGTGAGTACCCTGAAAAATTCCTCTCTTGATTTTAACAGTTCCATAACATTCGTTGCCCACAAACATCCTAGTTTTCCATTGTTTCATTACATTTTCAGTGAACTTGCTAATATTTTCTCAAACCCGGATGACATCCAGACATTTGATGATCTAACTATGCGGCAGTGGATCAAATGCTTTTTTGTAATCGATCCAAGTTCTATAGAGGCTTATTGTGTGACTTTTGCAATTCTCTATTATTATAACGTTTACTATCTTACTCCATTGTGACGTTTACTATTTCTTTTATTCTATTATTGGAAGGAGACATAAGCACATTTACATTGAAGAAGGTTGGAACAATTGTTTAACCAGAGTTGGACAGTCTTATCCTAAATTACAGTTTTATGTAAATATTCAAAAACATTTAACATCCGGATGCCTCAATTAATTTAATTGCAGTGGTATCTCTTTTTATTTTGTAATTGGCCGGTAGCTAATTGTGTGTTGTCTTATTGTTAATGTTTTATTATTTTATTGTCCATGTTTTATTTTAATTGCTTGTGTTGTTGTTATTATTGCTTGTATTGTTGTATTTGGGTTTGGCCTCATGTAAGCCACATCGAGTCCCTTGGGGAGATGGTAGCGGGGTACAAATAAAGTTTTATTATTTATTATTATTATTATTATCTGCTGTGTTTCCTACCTTCGGCTTATACTCGAGTGAATACGTTTTCCCAGTTTTTTGTGGTAAAATTAGGTGCCTCGGCTTATATATTGGGCCGGCTTATACTCGAATACATACGGTATATGGAACAATGCTGGGTTGCTTGTTTGTTTTGTTTCACTGCCAAATCAAGTCTCCCTTTTCAGTCAAGATCTGAGCATGGGAAACAAGGATAGCATAGAAAGACTCCTGAAAAATCACACTAGGATTTATTTTCAGGGTAGGCCTTATTTTCAGGGAAACCAGGGAGGGCTTACATTCCAAGCATCCTCAAAACTCATCCTAGGGCTTATTTTCAGGGAAAACAAAAAAGAAAAGCACGGCTGTGATGCTGCGTGACAACCTCTAAGGTTTAATGTGCATCGATTACACAACGTGCCATGTCCAGCTCCGCGTGGGGGGGGGGGAGGGAGGGGTCACTCGGCCAGCTTCTTCTCGACTGTGCGCACCACGTCCTGTAGCTGCAGTGCAGTCTCAGTCAAGGCCTGCAGCGCTTCCTGGAGGCTGACACTGCTCCCGTCTCCCCGGGTGGCCTCTTCCAGGCCCTGCCACCACTGCCGCAGCCTCTCTTGGTGTGCCCGCACAATCCGCTGCTCCTCCAGCTCGGCCTCCAGGGCCTCCGCGGCCCGGTTCTCAGCCTCCAGCCGGGCCTCTAGTTGTCGGACCTCTTCTTGCAGCTCTCGGAGCCCTTCCTGCGAAGAGCCTTCCCCAGCTTCCTCCTGGGCCTGGTCTCCCGGGAGCTGGACATTGTCCGGGATGTCCAGCACGGACTGGTGCAGGGTGGCCTCCAACTGCGGAAAGAGGGCCTTCAAGTGGTCTTTGGCCAAGGCCAGGAACTCCTCCGTGCCCTGGCGGATGAGGGCCGGGTCCTCATTGGGGAAGCGCTCCAGCAGGTCCGCCTCCATTCTCACCACATTGCGTGAGAGGGACTCCTGGAAGGCCGTGTAGATCCTCAGCACAAAGGTCTCTGGTGTGAAGCCAAAGAACTGGGTCGCGTATAACGAGCGTGCGTCAGACATCACGAGCTGTGGAGGCAAAAGGAAAGAACTCAGCCTCCAAGGACAGAGACTGACAGCCTCCACTACTCTCCACCTCAGCCTCCACTACTCTCTCCGCATACATAATTATTACAGCCTTCTGTCTATCAATATCTTCTATATCAGGGGTCCTCAAACTTTTTAAACAGAGGGCCAGGTCACAATCCCTCAAACTATTGAGGTCCGGATTATAATTTTAAAAAAACACGAACATATCTTATTTGTAGTGCAAAAGCCACTTTAAAACAATAAAATAATTAAAATGAAGAACAATTTTAACAAATATAAATTTGTTAGTATTTCAATGGGAAGTGTGGGCCTGCTTTTGGCAGATGAGATAGGATTGTTTTTGTCTGTTTTCAAGACTTAGGTTGACCCTGAGCGAGGGCCGGGTAAATGACCTTGGAGGGCCGCATCCGGCCCCTGGGCCTTAGTTTGAGGACCCCTGTTCTATATCTTAACTATCTTCTATATCTTAACCCCCGGTGGTGCAGGGGGTTAAATCCCTGTGCATATATAGAAAATATAATAATTGAATATATATGCATATATATACACACACACACACTTGTGTATTTTTATTATATAAACTATACATATACTCTGCACATATACATACACACATTATTGAATATATAATGATATGTATATACGCGTTATTGCTACTACATATACTACAAAACAGATACAGAATACATTATATTGTTCTATATATTATATGTATATATTTATGTGTGTATAATGAAATATATAAAAATACAATAATTGTATGTGCATAATGCATATTGTACACATTATTATATATGTATGTATATATATAAGAATATATATATAAACTATGCATATACTCTCCATATATACCTACATATATATGCACACATACATTGAATATATATGTGTGTGCATACACATTGCTACTACATATACTATAACACAGATATAGAATACATTATATTATTATGCACAGGTATATGTATAAATATACATTACATACATATATAAAAATACATTAATTGAATATATATTCATAACATATTATATGCATATGTGTATTATTATACATATTATTATTACATATACATTTCAATGTATTCTATATACAAATATAGAATACATTATATATATATATATCATGTAAAATTTTTATATATATATATATATAAAATTGTATACATATGTATTTATGGATATATATATGTGTGTCTATATGTACGATGAAATTATACCATTATTATTATTATATATATATAATATAACTGTATAAATATATATGTATTTATGGGTATAGATGTGTGTGTGTATGTACAATGAAATTATACCATTATATATTATAACATAATATAATTGTGTGTGTGTGTGTGTATATATATATGTATATATGTGTGCATATGTACAATGATATTATACCATTATAATTTTATATATATATATTTGTATACATAGATATGTATTTATGGGTATAGATGTGTGCATATGTACAATGATATGTACAGTGTGTGTGTGTGTGTATTTATGGGTATAGATGTGTGTGTATATGTACAATACAATTATACCATTATATTATATATATATATATATGAATATATA